GGCGCTGCATTGGCTTCCTCTTAATGGGTCACTGTAATTGGAAGAGTCAGGAAGCGGGCGCTGCTCCGTGCCGTGTGGTGTAGTTACTGGAGTCGTGAGAGTGATGGGAGCCATTGGCAGCTGGGGTCTGGAGGGTGCTGCTTCTGAACAGGCCTCTGTTCATCTCCTCTCCACCCCACACAGCTCTGCTCCAGAGGGACAAAGCTGCTGGGACAAATGGTCACCTGGGAGCCGAGCACTTAATGAAGCACACCTTCTCAATAAACCCCCTTTTAAAAACCGGCAACAACCTCCCATCTGCCGTGGCAGCACAACAGATCTGTTGGGGAACTTGTGAGGGAATTGCCTTTTTGCAAAGTGTGTGTCTCACATGATCAGAGCCACAAAGCCTACATGCATGCAAACTCATGCCTTTTTATTTGCCCTCCATGACAGTATAGCTATTAGCTGCCTGGTGGCGGTTTTCACTTGTCAAGCGTTATGAGATGTCCTTCAGAACTCATGGCCAGTTTACAAATGTCTCTGCTTTACCGAGATGGGCTTTGTGAGGAGAGTGCTGCGCTCTTAATGAGTTCCTTCCATCTAACTTTTATCCTTCCTGTCGTCTTGGATCCATTCACATTTGGCACTTATGCAATCGTCTCTCTGAGTTTCTCTCATGCTGAACTGTGAGGCCGCGCAGGACGAGGAGTTGTTACTCCGATGTGAGGAGAGCATTTAAGTGATTGTCTCTTCGCAGTGCTTGTGTGGATGATTGACTCGAGTCTTGGAATGATGGCCTGGCACAACCATTTACCTTCTCGACTCGAAACCAGTCGTGAACTCACTTCTTCCCTCTTTTTTTCTTTGTTTATCTCTGCAAGTGTGTGCTTTATAGAAGCATTTATACTGCGCTGAGCTGATAGAGTATATGATAATGATCAAAATGATACATCTAATGATTAATGACTGTTGGGATTTCTGTTCTTCACACTAATCATGACTTTCTGCACTTTCTCTAAATGTAACACCCTGACCCTTTCGCTTACCATCCCCACTATTCACTCGGGAAGCTCTTTCACTGAGGCCACTCAAATTAGCTCCGGCCCCTCGGTGAGAGCCCCACTGCTACAGGACCTGTCGCAGAACCCGAGGCATAAATCATTCCCCAGAGCAGGAGCTGTGGCAGGCCGAGACGCACATCCACCACCCGAGATTTACGCTGCACAGCGAAGCACGGCCCCCGCAATCTGGATCCTCTCCACCTGGTCATCTTCAAATTGGTTATTGATCTTCCAATCACAAAATGAATCATACGTTGCCAAGACTGTTTAGGTACCGCGTTTACAGTAGCTGTTGATGCTGATATGGAACCTGGGGATGGATTATTGTTTTAGAAACCAGCGAGAAAACAACTACCTGCACTGAACCGGGAGTAAATGGGAAAATAAATTAGAAGCAGTCTACCTTGAGATGAATATATGTCATGTTGTCATCCAGCAGAGCCTCATTATCACATATCAAAACAGCTGAAGAAACTCCTGACAGTCACTGAAGTGAAGAGCTTGAAGTTGGCTATATTCTCCTGTTGTGATATTCAACAGTGTGTGATTATGGCTGCAGTCCTTTTAATTTGTTATTCAAGAATAATTGCAGGGCCTGTGATCATATTATACTGCAGTTCTTTAGAAAGCATAACCAATTCATGCTGTAGGCTATTTTGTCTTTTCTTCTCCTTTATCTGATGGAAACAAATTCTTCACACACATTTCTAACTTTGTTTTGAATAGAAGCTTCTTCATCACTATACTTCATAACGCTGAAATACACACGATTCTGCCATAGCAGTATCACTACTTCTATCTACAGCTGACTCAAATCGGACAGGTTCAATAGACTTACTTGCTTTCAGTTCTTGGCATATACTGTATTGTGGCGTAATATTTAATGGGGCTTCACTTCTTGCCCAATTAGGCTCCAAGATGGTATGTAAATGTAGCTTCTGCCCTGGGTGCAGTTTCCTCATAAATGCCAGATTGGCCATTATCTGAACTCCTTTGTGAATGAAAACAGACAGCTATAATATAGTCCTTCACCACCTTAATTGAAAGATTGTAAGAGTGGTCCTGTCTTTGAATTTCCTTCTTAAATGTCAATATCTAAAACCAAAACACACCGTTTTAGATGGATAATGTCAAGCTCAGTTTAATTTTCAAAGGTGGCTGCATCATTGCTCATGACTCCCGAACTACCTAATCAATTAATCGTGCTGTGGAACACATTTATTTGACAGGATCAGTGTAACTAATTGGCTGTTGAATGGAGTCAGATAGTAATCTAGTAGCTGTTATTTGTCATTCCAGGACACAGGTTTAATTACAGAGGCTCATTAGGACTATATGGCGATGAGTGGTTACAGAACATGACATGATTTAAGCTGATGTGTTGCGGAGCATGTCCATGGTCAGATGTGAGGACAGGAAGCTGTGTTTCTACTAATTGACACCTTGCTCACTTCAAATGAAGCTATAGTCATTTATATTTGCTAACCCAATTTATGACCTATTCCTGCTAAGATCACCTTCAATGTCTTGTTGTACAGATGTGGATCTCTTTGTAATTCAACCTACCAAGGCATATTTTTTATGGAGGATGTTTATTTATATTAAAGGTCCCCTATTATACTGTTTTTTATCAATATATTATAGTTCTCAGATATATACAAAACATGTCTCTGAAGTGTTTGGCTCAAAATACCAAACAGATAATGCATTTTTGTAGCATCCCATAATCCCCTCTGTTTCAGCCCTGTTTCAAAAGTGCTGATTCTCTGTCTTTTACTTTAGATGCTCTAGGAGGAGATTCAGGTGATAAGGTGTGTGTGTGGGGGGGGGGTTACCTTGGTTGGTTATTGGCTAATGGTTACACAAGCCAAAAAATCGTTATGACATCATAAAGAGGCCAAAATCTGATCAGATCATTTTCAGACAGGTTTTTATATAAATGGATCAGGACAAAAAGTGAGCGAACCTTTTTGCCTGAAACTTTCAGAATCTCTTTACACAGAGGGGACACATGTTTATGTATAAAAGACATGAAAAAGTGGATTTTGCACAATAGGTGGCCTTTAAGTATGAGGGTCTTGATTTACAGATACACTGACCGTGCTTTGTCGTTCTCAGGTAAGGTAGAAATCCAGCCTCAGTGGCCTTTCATTTTTCTTGGACCCTGGCAGCCTCTAAGCAGGGAGGAGGGACTCTGGTTGGACAGCTCTGCTCCCCCCTGCTCCCCCCTGCTCCCCCCTGCTCCCCTCTGCTCCCCTCTCCAGTCGATAGCAGCCAGCAGGTAAGGCTCTGTCTCTGTCTGCAGTGTGGCAGACTCTTATTAGTGGTAATGTACTCCCATCATCCATCTCCAGGTGGGCTTCCACCATTGATCTCGATGCCAAGCCTTGTCACTTATTGCTCCTCACACAGTGAAAGCTCTGGTCGCCGCCAGCACGGGCTTTAGATGACCCGGCTTAATGTTCTGTCGATAGCCTCGCTGCTGGACAGCCGGTGTTAGAGCTGTGAGGAGACTTTTCCTCACAGTGAATTCAATATCTAAATCCAGCAAGGACAAAAAAGTTGATTGTTTGTTTCTGTTTGCGATCGTCATGACGGAAAATCCAATAATTGCTGCCGTAATAATCTTCCAGAGTTCAACAATCCTGTTTGTGAGCGTTAATAACCACTGTTCTGAGTTGTTGTAAAACGTTTATAAAAAACGTATTCCAACTAGCCGTCCTGAATCATATTTATTACCAGTATCTTAATTAACAGGGGCAAAACAATGTAGATGTTTAGATCAGAATTTGTGCTAGATAATAGGTTTACGGTTACAAATAATTTCAAGGTAAGTAATACCTCATAATGTTCCTATATTCTCATAAGTAGGGAAGTTTAGGTATAGGTCGGGCCTTGCTCATGCTCATCTTGGAAGGTAAAGACTAATGCTTGGTATTGAACGGAACAGTTTAAGGAACACTGAGAAGCACTTGGGATTGTGGACTTCTTCCTTAAAACTTTAAAAAACGTAATTTTCAATCACAACACCAGCATATGAAAAAAGAAATTGGGTTTTACACTTTCTGCGTGCAGGAAAGCTTGTGTGAGGGTGCAGTTCTTGCAATGATATCTGAAAGATCACAATACTTTTCCCTCAAAGTCTTCATTTTCTTTGTAGACTTAGGGATTTCACTCTTAACACACTGAACTGCTTTGTATTCCAAGTTTAATTGTACCAGTTCATGGGAGCTTGACTAAATGTTTAATTTTCTCCGGGCACTTGATCGACCTGGTTCAGTGATTTAACCAATGGAGAATTAAATGTGGGTTTCTCCCCGAACACCTCATCAGATGCCAGTGAAAACGAGGCCATCTGTTGGGAGTGTGTTAGTTAAGTGGCCATGCTGCAAACAGACAACCCCATGCAAATAAGTCCAGAGGTTTCTGCAGTTAAAGTTGTACTTGAGGCCAAATATCATGGTTTGAGTTTCCTTCACAGACATGTTAGCTTTGCTTATGTTCCTTAGCTTCCTGAATTTCCCAACGGGGATAAATAAAGGTCCATCTTAGCTTAGTTTATGTCAGAAATGAGTTTCCAACATTGCTGCAATTACTGTAAAAGCTGTTTTTCTGAAACAGTGACTAAATTAAGTTTTCATATCTATTCTGATTAAGAGCATAGCAACACACAAGAGGGATTTTATTTTTCTATCAGTTGTGGAAACCAATGTAGATTTCCAAACTGTATGTATGTCTTGTATCCGTCGAATGGCACAAATTAAATAAACACCCAGAAACAACATTTAATGATTTGACTGCCATGTCCGCATTTGACTATACATACGCATCAATCTACTCGAAGAAATGTATATTAAGAAATAAGATACACAAGGCATCCATTTAAAAAGAACACACTGACACTATTAGACATAATAGCACGATGTTCATTTTATTTTCTTAAATCGAGTATCAGATTTATCTAAACAACAGTTTTATCAGAACTCAAATTAGCAATGTCTTCTATCAACACCATTTTTTTGTAGCCTAAAAAAATAAATCAACATTTTCTTTTCTTTTCATAAACATATGAGTTTCCACTGAACATTCATTGAATATTAAATGGCTTCATAAAACACTATAATATCCCTGTCAAGGACGTGTTACACGTTAATTACCATTCACAAATGTTGTCATGGATGAGTGTATCAATGATTTATCAGGCCACATTATTACTATGCCACGGTTCAATGGATATCACAGCTGGATTTACTCACAGGGATTATATATGACTCTTTATGAACAAGACAAAGGGGGAACCCACTGAAGAACACATAACAAATAGTACATTCTTTTACAGATATCACTCAGGTTACACCATTAACACCAAGTAGAACAGTTCAAATGAACATCAGAGGTAAAACATGAAACATTTATAGAATATCTGGCAGGAAAACAGTTTGCATCACTTTATTTTAAGGCATTTTTCTTACGTTTGTGTACCTTTCACAAGTATTTTACTATATATTTAATCTTTTCAGGTGAACATATAAAAATACAGTTAGTTTGAAAGAATAAACATGCAACGTGTGTCGCTTATATAGTCTTTTCTTGAGAGGATGGTTCACATTCAGTTTGGCTGATTATTTGGAGATCAAACAACTGTCATCTGAATACAACAGGACAACACATATCCTCACATTTTCACAGCAGACCCCAGATTGAAACACAATATATCTTTTTTGAAGAATCCAAGTCACAGAACACTTTGAATGGACCATTTTGACAGCATGCATGTTTTAATGTCACCAATATCTCTGAGTATCAAAAATAGGTCATTTAATACTACACAAGCTCCATGCATCTACAGCAATTGTTGATTTGCTAAATTGCACATATACCCTCACTGCACTTGCTACTGTGTTATTGCACTACAGTATATCAATACATCCCCTACTCTACCATTAATAAAAAGCACTTCTACAGTATACACACGAACACAGTGGTCTGCCTCTATTACCACTGGACTGTATTTGACTTACAAAGCAGCACTGTTTATTAAAAGCTACACTTTTAAACTATTGCTATGGAACACATACATCTAAACTCCAAAAGTGCCACTAACACCACATAATGTTCTCCCTCTAAACACATGATTCATAACCAGTTCTCTATGTTTACAGTTATGAATTCATATATATATCAATATAATTATCTTAAAGTGCCTCATCAGACAGACTTCACGTATACACAACATCTTTGGCAACCTTTGTGGTGTCGTCAATAGAATACAAAAATACTTAACTTGAGCACAAAATGGATCTAGTATAATATAAAGTATATATGATCCAGTTTGTTACAATGGCAAGAACAACGTGAAACAGAATCACATTTACAGGATGTCATGATTGTTATAATTCACTTAAATATACTCTTATTTTCAGAAACCTCTCATATATTATACTCCTACTCTATATGCGTTATATATATTTATATTGGGATCACTCATATGATTCTCTCTGATGGAGGAGTTGCCCCTTTCATCAGTGTTACATAGAGTGCATGGCTTCAGTTTCCTAAAGGCAGCTTAACTTAACGTCAGTCTGCCGAGTCAAACAGGGCCATAGTTGGACCTGAAATCATTATGTCTACACACATCAACAACAAAAAGTTCCCTTTACATACTATATAATAAGTTTAAGGCTTTGCATTTTGTTGTTAAAGGAACACTATTGCACAGACAACAAAAAACACTCTACTCTAGTCTAGGTCTAAGGCTGCGGTCAAAAAGTAAAAAAAATCTTCCTTTGTCTTTCCCTAACCACTTTTCCTTAACCTTGATGAGGTCAAGGAAAGAAGCAATGAAGAATAATAAGGACAAAGGAAAGGACGTGTGAAGTAAATATTTTCCAACACCAAATCATTTGGTGATGCCGGATGTTATTAACGTGGTTGAGCAGTCAATTGAAATGTTGCTGCCACCAGGAATTGTGGGACCACATTATCTCCTGTCCAGTCTACCCTGTGCTAAAGAGGGTAAGAAAGGAAGCATTCAACCACATATCCTTGAGATTTAGAGAATACGCCTGAAACATCAGGTCATTTCCTTCAGTTAGGAACCGCCCTATCCAATAATACTAATGGACCGCAGCCTTAGGTTGTTCAGAGGAGCCTCTGAGTGGGAGATGCTCTCTGTGAATGGCTTACTTCCCTGATTTATAAGGCAGGCCGGCTCCCTGGCCGCTACCAGCCGGTTTGGTAGCCGCAGCGCTGCTTCTATTGCACAGGTCCCTGATCTCCAGCAGGCTCTCGTTCAGGGCTTTGACGAAGACAGCCGAGCTCGTCCCCGTGTTCTCCCAGAAACTAGACACACAGAATATGATGTGGTCCGACTGCGGGTTATAACAGGCACCGTAGCCGTTGGGCACCACCGGGCCGTAGCAACAGAACATTTCCACTGTGGTAGAAACCTGACGACAGGAGGACACAGAATGGGTTAGAACAGTTTTTCAACTAACAATTTGTATTGTTGTTTTATATGAGGAATCTTGGTGAGTCACTGTGCACGTTCAAGAGTATGTGGTTGATCTCCACTTTCTTGTAATCATGGTCATGTCATGGAAAAGCTGAGGGACTCAATGTACCTTCAAAAACGATCTCTTTGAAGCTTAATCAGGATCCAACAAGAATTAAGTACATTTCTGTTGCAGCGACTTGTTTCCTATCACATTTATCTTTGCTCACAAGAGAATCAAGTTTGATTCAAGGCAAAAATTACAAGGAGGAGAACATGTTATTTGTTTAAAATGAAAACAAAACCTGTTACCTGACTGGTAGAAAGGATGAACTGGTTACTGGTCGAATACGTCTCATCACTGAAGATCTCTGGCTTCTCCATGTTGAGCTCCTTTGCGATTCTCAGAAGCCCGAGGAGATGATTGTCTATTGCCATTCCTGTGATAGCCTACGAAATAATTGTTTTCTTAGTTTCACTTTTTAATAATTGAATTAATATAATGGCAAATGGTTTAAAATACTTACTGCAATTGTATAATTTGTCTGGGCATTAATTACGTCCCTCAGTCGTTTCATTTTTTCTGAATCCTGTTAAAGAAGTACAAATAAAATTGGGGAAAAAAAGCATGGCATTATTCCACAGTACAAAAAGAGAGCCAGTAAATTCATTTTTCATGGACACGTTTAAATCTGCAGGGACATCACCTGTTTGGACGGGGACACTGGTCGCACCTGTTTCATCTAAGCAGGCGTGATGAACAGTAATGTGGGAGTTATTCAGTAATTGGGGTCAAAGTGAGAAAAATGACTCACGGTGAAAGTGGCCCTCTCGTCTGTCATGGACATCACGAAGGCCAGAGCCTCGGGGGTGGCAGAGCGAATGTTATCTACCCGACCGTCTTGGAATCGCCGAATGGACGCGCTCTCATACGTGGACACCAGCCTTTTATTGCATCTATACAACGGGACAAAATCACATTAATTAATGAGTATATTTAAAGGGTTTATTAATGGCCACATTCATTGATAGAGATGATGAATTTACTTGTAAAATGCAAGTTGTAAGGCAACTTGTATAAATGCATCCGGGCTCATCTTCAGTTTTTTGATCAACTCTTTTCCATAAACGTTGAAGTTTAAAACATCCATGTCAAGATTATCCACCAGCCTGAATGAGAAAGCGCAACAAATATAAGACATGATGTTTATAGAAATGATTAATTTTAAAGTTTAGTTTCATGGTCTTGCCTCTGGAGTCTGTCTCCAGATGCTGCTAAGAGTCCTTGGATGTGTGGGTTACATTTCCAGAGCAGCCTTTTCGGAGGGGGCGGGTCTCTGATGCTGGACGCCCTCGCCATCTTGGAGGGACTTCCTGTTCTGTTCGGGAACACAACATCACATCCACTGTTGGTCTCAGCAGCATTTATTGAGACAATGATAATTAGAGTATCTTTCTCACTGACTTACATGTATTTCATCAGGTATTCAGAGAGCTGCACCATAACTATTCCCTCAAATGGGGAATGGTCGCACACCACTCCACATACTCCATCCATTCCTACAACAAACTGAGAGAAGGGGGATTAGCTAAAAGCCCAAACTCTACATTCATGTAGGATTGAAGTGTCTTGGTGCAGCCCTACCTGCATCGACTTGTCATACCAGCGATTCGCTCCATTCTTCTCCCGGCCTCCACCATGCAGCATCAGCACGGCCCGGGTGGTGTCTCTAGCCTCCAGACCACACGGCTCATCCAGACACAGCACACACATACAGCTCTCCATCAGAGCCAGAGAGTCCCTGTTGGTTTGATCTGGATGGAGGAGAGAAGTATCAGATTTCAGACTTTGTTTATTTGTCTGAAAATAGTTTATTGTTGATAAAAAGCCTCCTCAAAAGATGCGTTTCAGACCTTTCGTAAGTGCATCTCTGGCTTGTGCCCATTCTGTTCTCCCGTCAGACGTCAGGACGCCCAATGGAGGGAGTCTCTCTTTGGCGTTTTCGGACATTTTCATGATTTTCTCCAGTTGGGATAAGATCTCCGTCTCGTTGAGCTGCTTGCTGTTTGCGACTACATCCAACACGAAGAACTAGTGAGAAAAATGGATAACAGAAATCATATGTTTCTTCATTGTGTACTGTGTCACATGAGGCAACTTTAATAGTGGATTTTTGTTTGTGTTCAGATTTGCCTGCTATGAGAAATGTATATCTGAGCTTATTGTTACTGTGGTACAATATTGGACCACTCAGGTAAATAGGTAACTAGGTAATTATGGTAAGGACTGCAAATGGCCAGTTGCTGCCTTAAATATGGCTCCTCTACTGCAATCACTTAAACCGGCATCTCAAGGAAGCTCTGGCAGACTAAATCAACAGTAATGAAGTTAACCGCCTGTATCTCCACAGGGACGGGCCCTTATGTGCCACAGATTGATAGTTCCCAGAACCATTTCCAGGTGGGAGCTCCCACTGTGCCTTTTTCTGCGGTCATTTAAAGGCACAGTCTGCGAGCTAAATGTAATGAAAACAGGGACCTAAGACATGTTGGCTACGGGCGTTTTATACATTCATGGGAATCACTATTGTGGATTAAGAGAGTTGTTGTGCGGTCTTAAGACATTTGTTAAATGTGATCGTTTTAGAAACACGATTTTGCATTTGTAGTCGGATGTGACACAAATCCAATGTCTATGTTGATTGATATATGCCTACTGTAGGACAATATGAAGCGTCTACCATGCTTTACAGTTTTAGAAATGTCTCTTTTGAGTTGGAAATCTTCAAGTTAAAAATAACAGGGCAATACTTCCTTCTTAGTAAGCTAACCCTTAATTTATTTATTTATTTTAAATTCCTTCAAGACAAGTGTCCTACTGCCTGTTACTGGATAAAAAACCATTATATTCAATACTGATCATGTTCATTGGGGTTCTTGTGTCTGATGTGACGTTCTGACCACTTTCACCCACAGCTACTGTATAGAGGAAATAATAATATAACATTAAAGGATCCTTACATGTACTTATATGTTCTCTCAAATGCACAGGCACCTGTCTCCAGTTAGAAGTGTGATGGAGTGTGAAAGGTTTCCTCAGAAGCCGGCGTGCTGACCTGGTTCTTGCAAGCCACGATGATGTGCTCCGGCGCTGAGGAGGCTGCCTTCATCTGGACCTTCAGCGTGTCTGTCTTCTGCCCCGGGTAACGGTAGGAGTTGAAGATGCGGTAGTACTGCTCCATGCACAGAGGGGTCCCAGCTAGCTGCCCTCGAGCAAAATCCACTGGCAGCGCTCGCCTGAGAGACATTATTACACACATCAAATGACCTCTAGACTAGGGGTGTCCTAACTCTTTTCTCCGAGGGCCACATACAGAAAAACATACGAAGGGCTGGGCCTCTCACTAGAGGTATTCTGTAAGAAAAAGACAGCACACAGCTCTCCAGAGGGTTTCATTTATTGTGTTGGCAGCTCATTCCTTAAAACAGAAGCTTCAGATTGCTTATAATAAGAGGAAATATGAAGGGTATATTTCAAGGTTGTTATGTGAATTTGTCATTGGGCTTTTTTCTTATCAATTTAGATTTGTTAGAAAAATGTTTCAACTTTAATTGACTGGATTTATTTGAAAATTGGGCCTATTAACACATGAATACTGTGTAATATATTTGAACATATATATTTAAGAAGTACAATATAAGACAAGCAGAAGTGTATTATACTTAAAGTGGACCTATCATGCTATATTTGAATAATATAGTGTAGGACCATACCTATAAGGCATATTTATACTTTTTTTTCCTTCAAAATACCAAACAGATCATGCATTTTAGCCATGCCTCATTTTGCTCAATTTGACAATTTCTAGCTCTGTTTTTGCAAGGGCAGATTCAGTGAGAACAGCACCATCTACTGGCCTGGCATATGTACTACAGCGTCTCCAGCGCTTTCGAACGGCAATGGCCGTGGCTGTCTCCTCCTGATTGGTGGAGTTGGCCCAATAGCCGTAGCGCCACCGTCCTGACGTCAGGACAGTGTTCAAATCTGGATCAGTTTTTATCAGATCCGTTGCAGCCCCTTTTTTAGAGATTTGGGTATGGAGGAAAATAGAGAGGGTTGTGTTTTCTGAGACTTGGTGAGTTCCCTGGAACACCGGGGACACATATTCATGTAGAAAAGACGTACAAAAGTGCATTTTGCATGATAGGTCCCCTTTAAGTCATTATACTTTTTTAATTTGCTGAGTGAGGGCCGCATTTGGCCCCCGGGCCGTAGTTTGGACACCCCTACTCTCACTTTATCACTTATCATTATACTCCATTTTATTTTCATCCTCTGCTGATTCATCATAGATGAGGTGTAGGGCATGCAGGTGGACACTGAGGGTGAGACAGGTTATCTATTACAGGTAAACTTACGCATCAATGAGAGCCTTGTAGTCCAACACTCCTCTGACGAGACGAGCAGCAAATCTTAAAAGAGAGAGAAATTTGACATGTATAGAAACTCTGAACATACACAGTGTACTGGCTGGATTATAATTAGATCTACTCTCATCTCTCACAGGACTAACAGTAATCTCATTATGGTAAATTAGTAGGATACAGTGGGCGGGCTGTGTGCGTTTATCTGTGTTTGTGAGAGAGACACAGAGAGTTAGTCGGTACGTGTGAGTGGGCGGTGTGGGCAAATAGGGAAAACACAGAGCCCTGTCAGGTCTCATGTTGTGTGTCATTTGTCTTGGTGTTATTACGTTCAAAGCCAGATCAATACAAAGGAGGCGGCCGCGGTGTACCACACCCCTAAATGAGGCTGACTAGCAGTCTCTGTGGAGAGCTTGGCCCTGTCACTCCCAATCTAATAAGTGTCTGTGTCAGTGCATTACCAGCTCGGGGTGCTCTGGAAGTATTCAGTTAGTACGACATGAGCTGACAAAAGATGATGTTGAGTTACAGGGCTGGGTGGACTGGAGTAATGTTCGGTGGAGCACGGCTCATTTAATAATGGGCAGAGATTTGGCCAAGAGATGATGCCAGTGATTTTCTTCATGTCTGTGTTTCAGATCTTTATCTGAGTCTGCTGAGAAACATAAACCCTGTCAGTGGCTGCACAAGTGAGTGATATATTGTGCACATGGCATTGTAGTGTGTTGTCACTTCTAGTACCTTTTGAGAACTTCTGCAACCAACCATCTGTGATGTTGCAGAGCATTCTGGGAGTTATTATGTGATAGGAAGTACTTTCTTTGGTGGAACTTGGTCCACTTATGTACTTTTTTATTAAATTAGAGTTTACCTCTTTTCCCAAAATGACTGAACAGTTAGAACAAAGTGAAAAGAGGGTTTCCCACAGAGCTGAACATATTAGGCGGATTGACTGAAAATGATTCTGCAGCTGTTTGTAAATTATACGGAAAAACATTATTTAGGTTGCAGCATCTGAACAATGTGAAATGTCTTTTGTGAAAATGAACTAAGAATCTGTGGGATGTGGATGGTTGGTTGGAGAAAAGAAGCAGATTGAAGACAACCTTGAGTGAGATTAATTGATAAATTGTATTTTGTTCTGTTGGCTGCTTTTCTTGAAGTTTACATGCCTCAGATATTTTCTGAAAAATGTAAATGTCCTAATTCAGATGCATATTTTTCATATTGTCTGCTTCTTTCTTTCAAAGATAAGGAAGGAGAGTGGATACAGTAAAAATGTACATCACATGCAACCTTTCTACAATAACAGACCCACGAGTCGAGCACTTACCTGAGGGCGTCTTTCTGATCTCTGAACGTCTGCTTGGGAAACACCATGACGGGACTGGAGTTGACCGGCAGGGCCAGCCTGTTGTTCAGGTACATGTCCTCCAGCCAGTAGTCATAGATCTAGATGAAAACACAGGCACATTTTTTGAGAGAACATTGTGTTGAGACTTTGTTCAACATTTTGGACTCCAGTTAATACTTTCAGAGGTGAGACGTATGGGCAATAGAGTGAACAACCATTACAGTGTGTCACTGCCAGGTGTAAATAAGAGTGGGAGAGAGTATGTGTGTGAGGGGGGGGGGGGGGGGGGGGGGGGGGGGGCGAGATGGATGAGCAGGATGAGTTGTGGACTGACTGCAGGTGGAGAGATTGAAGCTACAAAGGCTCCAATAAATCTTCATCCTCAGAGGTTTCACTTTCTTCAACTTTTTTATGAATGGGTTATTTATTAGTATAGAAGAATTTGAGATCATATCATTTTTTTATTTTCACACTTTATAGAGCCGAAGCAGAGTGGGATGCCATATTATAACAAAAAGACAGAATCAATGCTTAATGCGGATGACAAATTCTGTTTTGTAAATACATTGGATTATAATGATAATGCATGAAACAGAAAGATTATTGACTGAAGAAAAATCATCCGGGGAAAGATTTTTCAATAACTGTGTTGAGTTTTGCAAATGAGAGTGTGATTAACTAGAAAGGAGAAATGCATCCAACTGTTCTTTTACACGAATAAAGCCAAAACAAATCTTTATTGATACAGGGGAAGGACTGAGAACGTTTTTATTTTCTGTGTTTTCCCAGTTGATGCACATACAGCGAAGAGTAGCAGTGTTACCCAGTTTGTTGTCTTGTCCCTCCGTTCTAAAAGCTTCTTCTGGAGAACCTCTCCGACACCTCCGGGAGCCCCAAACTTCTCCGCGATAGCCTTTGTTTTCTTGAACTGCTCCTCCTTCACCAGGTGTTGAACACACTTCAGGTAAGTGTCGAGTGTTTGTTTCAGCGGGGGCAAAGGGACCTTTGGCAACACCTGAGGTCATATCAAAAACAGCTTGGTGTAAATACTTGTAACAAGTAATGAAAGAACTGCAGCTGTTCAGCATTTTGATGTCCTCTTGATTCACGGTGGGTTCATAGCTAAAGGGGGAATTCCAACACATCTTTTCTTTATGTGTTATTATTAGACACTGAGTTAATAATTCATCCTTAGTGCTTTGAGGCCTATTTAAGAAAACATTAGACAGCCCTTGGGACATGAAACACTTGTTTTCTATATGGTTGGGAAATTGATTATCTTTTCTGTCTGATGTTTGATCATTAGCATAATGATAACCGAAGAAGCCCAATATGTTAATATTGACCAGTTTGTTGGGACTTAAAATAATTGGTCTAGTTTTGGATTCCTGGGATCAGGGATTGTGTCGTTTTATTTATTTATTTATTTTGAGCAAGTCACATCAAGTTTTACCCTGGAAAAAAACATTGAAAAACAAATGTAGAGCCAACCAAACCACAGAACAGCATTATGATACAATGTGCCACTGTCATGGTGTGGATTTCATTACAGCACATTTGCTATATCATTGCAATAAGGTTTTATACCCCTGAAAGGTAAAAGGCATGCTGTCATTTCGCCCCTAGCGGTAGGTTAGAGTAAATGCTGCTGCCGCTGTACTTGGTGCTGAAAATCAGGCCTTACTTTGCCCGCTTCAGCACCATGGACAGCAACAGCGCTCCGTGTTAAAAGGTATAGTAAAAGATAAGGAGTGGGTGCTGATGTAAAGAAAAACACTTTGACTATAGAGACAATGACATGTTTTCATACTTGGCTGACTGTTGTTCTCCCCGTCTCTTTCTCCATGATTGGCATCTTTGCGTTCCTGTCCAGTCAAGGGGAAGTGATGGAGAGCCTGTAGAGACGATCTGAGGTCAGTCCTCCCTGCACGAAGCATGTAAAGACATTTGAGAAAGAAAGCAGACAAGTTTAAAAATGCAGTAAATACAATTAAGCCTACTGAGCAATGGGACTACTGAAAGTGAACCAGCGGGCTTCCATTCTTCTTCATTTTGTAACCTAATGCAATTTGCCGCATGTCCTTGAATCCCAGCTGCGCCTCATCGTTCACCACTGCAAAGAGATACGCCTCTTAAAAACTCATTTCATCCCTGTATGTCTCAAAAGCTTTATTTATCCTAAAACGAATAATAATTCAGCCAATAAATCGTAAACGTGCACGTGCTTATTTTCAGATACGTTTGACTTTGTAATGGCATTTTGATTTAAACTAAAGTTCTAAAACTAAAACATTTGGAACGATTTTTGAGAATAATTTGTCCTTGGATGCAAGTTGTTTGTTCAAAAAACGTTGATAATAATAATAAGAAATGAAAAACATTTCGTATTCACAGAAAAGAGAACTTTGAAGTAGATTAAATGAGTTGTTAAAATGCATATTCTTAGTCTCAGTGCGCCAAAGAAGCTCACAACAAGTTTCAAATAACCACATACACAAAAGAGAAGAAAAGTGACTTTACCTGACCGGTGCACCACTGACGATGTCAGAGAAGTGTGTGGAAGTTTACTTCGCCTCCCACCTCCACGCTGTGAAATCCCATATTAGTGAGCTCCGTTCAGGCGCTGGACTTCTCCCCCGTCCCCTCGTCTCGCCATGCGGCTGTGGCTCCACATAAAAGCGCGCCTCGGAAAAGATGCTGAAGGTGTTTGCATCTACCTACCCCCTTGGGGCAAGAAACTCCTCCCATCGAAATCTATTCGCGGAACATATTATCTGACAGCTCGCCCCCCCCTCCCTTGCCCACACCCGATAATACATTTAGCATAGAAGAATGAAGTGGTGGCCATTTTTTGGTTTGACATTCAAGGGTCCTGTGATGGTCCTGCGATGGTCCTGTGGGTCGGCAGAGATGAGAATGTTGCGGCTTTTAAGGTTCAGATTCAAGACTTGCACTTTCTGCAGAGTTTGACTGATTTCAGACAATAGATGCTGCACTTGTGCGGAAAATAAATCTGCTTTGCAGCTTGAGCCTAATTGTATAAACTGCTGCGCACTTGGGTCTGTTGATTTGTGTTTTATTTAGTTTTCATATTGTGGATTTATCTGCACTTTATGTGCGTTGGTTGTGCACTGTGAAAGAGGTGTATAATCAAAAGTCTGATTTCAAAGTTAAAATCATTATTTTTTATTCATCACATTAATATTTGTCGTTTTTCATACACAATGACATACACATGTGACTTGTCTTTTAAACCAATGTGTCTTAATGCTTCTTAAAATATGTAATAAACCAAATTCGTGATTTAACAAAATAGGTCCAACAGTCAGTTTGTTTTGATTCGTTTGAAGCTTGAAATAAAAATGAAATCAGCAGTGTCACACAGATTCAAACAGAGATTTATTAAAACGACAATTGATAAATGAATACATACTTTTTCATCTGAAGGAGACTGACTTCATTGGCTACGTCTTGACAAAATGTTTCATACATACACGCGCGCGCACACACGAACGCACACACACTTTGTAGAGGTCCACGTATGTTGCAAACATTTACATTGTGCATATATCCACATATGTACAAAATCCATGTATTATGATACATTTAATTTCAAACAACAGAAAACATTGAATTAAAAAGAAACAACAAACAGGCCCACGTGTTACAAAATTGAAACGGACGATTTTTTGTAACAAACAAAGAGGAAAATCAGGCCTTTGATGTGCAAGTAAAAAAAGTTATTTCAGAGACTACAAATATAGGCTATTTTGTGTAAGGGGGAAATGTGCTGTTTATAGTTGGTCCCATATAATCTTGTACGCACATTTATCTATTTATATCTTTTTACAGTACACACAAATTCAACAGTAGCTGATAGATCTCTCACAAAACTCCAGATATACGTCCATGACAAACGCCACATAGACTTGTTCGACACAATGAAATCACAGTCAAAAAAGAAACTCTGGAAAGCGGGTCACACCATCATGATTTGGGTGATTGGGTGTTTATATTGCACATCGGTACTTAAATAAAAATGTACTTTACTTTAACCTTTCCAAATATCTCCAGGGGAATGTTAAGGGGGCGGTGAGAGTGTGGCCGGGCTAAGTGTACTCCGGACCGGACGACTCTTCTGACAAAGACCGCTGTGCTCTAAACGGGTCAAACCCATTTTCATCTACTGACAGGGAATTCCCTGCCGTACTGTAGCCCTTCTTTTTAGCTCTCCTTTCCTCCATCTTGATAGTATCGTATAGCCCCTGCGGAGCCTCCTCTAACAGGTTATCTCTCTCTGAGTAGGACGGTTTCATTTGGCACACGTTGCGCAGCAGCAGCAGGGCTGGTGCGTAAAGCACATTGACGAGGCCCATACCCAGATTAAGTTGTACAAACCCGAAATTGTGCACTATCTGGCCGGCCACTATAGGACCCATAGCATAAGCAACAGAATAGGAAATATCTGCTATAGCGTAAACACTACCGTACACTGAAGTATGACGAACGTCAACCAAAAACGCAAGAGTCGGCAGCAGAGCAGTGTCTACCAGTGCAATGCCAAAACAAATGCCGCACAACGGCAGCATGAGCTGGCCGAAAGTTTTACATGCAGGGACTGTGCAGGAGCTCGCTCCTATGATAACCATACCTAAAGCTCCATAAAACCACTGCAAATGTGGATGCTTTGCTGCTAATTTAACCGTAATGTAAACACCGAGGACATGGGGGAAGAAGGCTGGGAGCCAGACGAGCCCCATTTCCCACTGAGTGGAGTGCATGTTGGTCTCCATCCAGTTGGCTATGGTGGGCTCTAGAAAGGCCAGGGGGATGTTACACACTGTGAGCGCCCCGGCCACCACAACAATGTACGGGTCAACCATGAGTTTGTATATTGGGGTACCGACTGGCATGTTCTCTCTAGTCCTGTTGGAGAACGGCTTGATCACGGTCAGCAGCATTAAGCCGTCCGCCAGGCAAATGCAGGCGAGCACGATGAAGGGCACTTTCTTGCCCGCAAACTCGTACAGGACGCCCCCGAATGGAGGCGCCACCAGACTCCCGAAAGAGATAAATGCCAGAGCGATGCCCAGCGCCGTGCTCCTCTCCGACTCCTCCGTGTATTTGTCAGCTATCATTGCGAATCCAGAGGTGTCCGCGAAGGCAGACCCCAGACCCTGCAAACTTCTGGCCACAAAGAGAGTTGCGTAGTTTTCCGCGATTGCAAATATGCAGGTGGACACGAACATAACAGAGAGTCCGATTAAAAGTGGAATGTCATATCCAACACGGTCTATAAAAGTTCCCGACAGCGGGTTAACTAAGAGCTGCAGGATGGCTTTGGATGCGAAAAGTACTCCTATCTGGATATCTAGATTGTTCCTGTTGATTTTGTCTAGAGCTGTGCTGTTGTATGAGGAGTTGGGGTGTATCACTACGTGGACGTGCTCTGCCTGCTCACTCTCCAGCTCAGCAAGATAGTCTGGAATAATTGGCACGATTACCATGTACAGCATATTGTCCAGCAGGAGAGCCACGCAAACAATCACTAATATGATCCGTCTCTGCTGGTGGGGATCCCTCATCGCGGTGCCTAGTTGCTTGGTCTTTTCACCCATCTCGGACAGTTTTACTGCGGCTGATTTCACCAGCCCGGATGATCCTCCTTCTCCATCCATGATGTGCTTTTAAAAAAAAACGATTTTCAATTACAAATTGTAATTGTTGTGCTTCTCCCGTCTGCTGTCGATCTTTCAACACCTCGGATGACTCATTGTTGTTTCCTCTACATTGGCGTGATGCTCTCCGTCCTCACCTCGCCTGTGCGTAAAGGGAGAGGCGAAGGGGAACTTGGCTGCCTCATCGGTGAAGATGGCTTTCTTCAGCTTCCTCAACGTGTCCTCGCCTCAGAAGCATCCGATGTTGTTTCATGATCTCCCGAGAAGTGACGTGGTGAAATCGCAGACTTTCTGCACCGTGCAGAGGTTTCGGTCGCAAATCTTACATGGCAAAGTTTGTTTCAAGCGATTTTTGGTTACTTATTTGCAACACATAGGACGCGCAAACTCTCATCTCCGTGTCCATTCCTCCTATCACCTGTGGCACTTTTGCGCTCTGCTCTGAGACCACGAGTGACTTCTTGGCCATTGGTGCACATTAACCCGCAGGTTCGGGGCTATTTTAGTCCCCTTTTTTGTCTCCTCTTTTCACCAAGAGCTGTGACGCATCACCAGCTTGCCCCCAAGTGGATCCCTTCGCCACTCGCCTCCTTTATGTTAATTTCCAACCATGGCAGCAATCACTTCAACCAATAAGAGCCAGTGAGCACCATCTCGCGAGCCTCTTCAAGAGCGTCGAAGAAAAAGAGGCTTTATTCTTCTTATTGTCCAGTTTGTGACTCTCCACTTTGGCGTTATTCTTTCATGCTTTTCTATAATTCTACATTTGTAGACATACACGCTCACGCAGGTAGATGTAGTGATACTTCTTTATCAAGGCAAGTTTATGTATTTCAACAAAACACTTAAAGTGCTTTACCCAACAGATTCACAACGATCAATCAAGCTTTTTATCAAACCAAAATCTATACAATGTTAATCTCGAGATAATATACAAAAAACATGCACGTTTCTAGTATTTAGGCACACACCCACAATGGGTACATTTAATATATTTAAATCCCAAAGGAGACTTAAAACAGTACAAACATAAATACAAAACAAATATAAACACTCTATATGAATCAAATTTCATTAAATGTCAGTAGACTTAATTGTTGCTGAAAAGAAAACTTTGGAAGCTTACTATATTAGCGATGTTTTTTTAAATGTGTACCACACTTGAACTCATAAACGAGCCGCTGCTGCAGGAGCAGAAGAAACGTCAGCACCACGAGGCTTTGGACAGCTCCTGTCACCACAGACAAAGAGTATTACTTGAATGAACAGTAAAAACTTTAACATATAAGGAAATAATCATGTGAACAACAACAACAACAACAACAACAACAACAACAACAACAACCACCACCACAAAACCATGTATGAATGTAAAAGACCATTGCAGGCAGCTCTTACTAACAGGACATCTTGCCACTGTACGGGGATGTAAAGGGACCTTTTTAGATGGTATACAGGACACGGGTGACATCTTGTGGTAGAAATAAAAAATGACTTACAACACCGGTAAAACCATCCCGTTAAAAACACTTCTTATCAGTGATGTTGCCCATAAAGGTAAAGATAGCTTAAAAATCTATGATATTACAGCCATTTGTTATCACTCTATGACTTTGGTTATCACTTAAATCTGATGTTTTTATTTTTCGTTCCTTATTGTCTCCTGTAGTTTTAGATTATTTCATTTTATTAATGTGTAAAAACAACAAACCAATAATTTGTTTCCGTCATGTTAAACGAATAAAAGCTTTGTTTGTTTTTCCTCTTTATTTTTGAAACACTATTTCTTTACTAGAACCATTATCATGTTGCCAGTAGAGGGCAGTGAAGACTAGCACATAATGCAATCCATGGTTTAACTGTTTTACCTATCAGCATTGTATTACAGTTTATGGGTTGCCCCTACAAAAAACTCAAAACACAGGACTGGAAACTCCTTTCTTGGAAAGATAAATAACCACACATTTAAATCAACCTGAGTTCTTCAATCCAAGTTAAAACGTGATTGAATATATTCATTTTATATTTTCTGGTGCTACAAAATGGTGTAAAATGTGTTTTGAAATCAGTTAAATTATTAAAAACAAAACGTTGTATTCCTATCTTTTAACAGGGAACTAGTATGCTCAATTTAGATACTTGTGTAGAATGTATAAACTACACAATAGTTTATAATACTTGCATCCCTTTAAATACAAAATAAAACAATAGTATCTGGGAAAAGGTCCTATGAGATTATTTATCTTATTTTACTTCCACTACAACTGTAAACAATTATTATTAAGATAACAATAACAGTGAATTGTGTCCCTCATGCTATGTATTACTACTTCGTGTCCTCTGTGTGAAACTAGATTATCCCGGATGTATCTTGTATTTTCATACTGAATGTACAACCAAGAAAAAGGAAATACTTTGTAATGCTTATGATGATAACTTTTATAAAGCAGCATTTTGTCTGATGATCTCGTGTAACGTGCAGGCAGTGTTCGCCGTGCTTGATGCAGAAAAAGAACATTAATAAACTAACAGGAAATAGCTGCCCAATTTCACTAATGAGGAAAGCTTGGCACAGCAGCAGTCGTTAGATTAATGCGCTTCATTTTTTTTAACACAGATTTCATACAGGGATGTGACTCCATACTGCAACCTCTCACTCATGCTGGTGGCTTGGCAGAGTCTGCAGGAGTTCAGAGTGTCGGCTTTGTGTTTTGGGTTGAGATAAGGGCAGTGACCTGGCCTTTGAAGACAATGTAAAAGAGGTTTAAGGCCAGAAGAAAGGCTGTAACGCAAATATCATCTAATCCAGATCTGGAAAACAATCCTTTTAAAGGTGTTTCAAGAACAAATCCACATCTTTAACACAATTTGTTATCGTGTGAAAAAAGAAATGGTTACGGCTCATGGACCGACACATGCGGTGTTACGTAAAAGCTTTGTTTTTGTCATGTGACATGTCCCTGTGTCTAATGTGTCATATAATCTGACCCCTGGACGGTATCGTGTTACTTCACTGCAACCTTTGCTTTTTTCTCTCTCACAAGCTCTCATCTAAATAATAATTGAACATAAACCATGGTGCTTATCAGGCCAATACAGAGTTTATCATTAACTTGGCAGCTAATGCAAACAATGTTTTCCTCAATTGACCTCTGTCGCTCAGCTTTTACACGGGAAAGACGGTCTGTTTATTTGGTTTTTCCCCCCAGATTGTAACAAGTGGATCTTGTATACTTAAACAGATCATTAGTTGGCAAAAGATAAAGTGCTCTTTGACCATAATCCTCCTTTTAAAATGCATCTTTTTTGATTATGTAAGTTATCAAGCTGCAGTTAATACAATGTATATTGTATGCTCTAAAACACATATGTCAAACTCAAGGCCCGGGGGCCAAATCCGGCCCGTGGTGGATTTAATTTCGGCCCGCAGGTTCATTTCTAATTACTATTAGATCAGGCCCGCCGGTATATTGCACGCACACCTTCACTCAATCCTGAGGATTTCCTCAGCTCAGAGTCTGACCCCAAACATTGATGAACTTGCACCCAAGATGAGATGCCAAGTATCTGGCTTGAACTAGCATTACAGCAGCAAACTGAGTTTCAATGGATGTTTCCTTCTGCACTTTTTTTCTTGCAACAACAGGGCATGTTTGTTTTTTTCTTTGAGGGAAAGTGTTTTTTTGAAGCTGTTGTTGGCCTGTGGAAAAATGTAATCATAAGAAATGACTCTGGAAAAGCTGCGGATAGAGCCATAAGAAATGAATACAACTGATTATTTAATGTTTAATGTTGTTTTTATTGGCAATAATTTAAGCTTTGTTAGTTCCAGGTTTAATATGTGCAATAAGTTCATTTCAATACGTTTTGCAATAAACATTGAACCAGTCCGGCCCTCGACTAGTACCCATTTTTTTATTTTGGCCCACTGTGTATTTGAGTTTGACACCCCTGCTCTAAGAGATTCAGAATAGAAAAGGAAAGCACCACTGACAGCATTTTTTATCTTGGTTGTTCTGTTTTGGATATTTAAATCGTAACTTGTGTCATGGCTCTTCAGGGATTGCCATGTCATGAATATTCTCTGAATTATGAGGGATTTTAGTGATTGATTCAGGCTCTTTTTATCTAAATGTAACTTGTTCTGGCTTATCTCTCCTGCAGAGTGCTTGCCTGCTTGGACAACAACATTTGATATTGGACACTTCTGTGTGTCTTTATTAAGGTAGTGCTTTTCAAATGACTTGTGCTGTCACATTGGTGGGTTAAGAAGAAATTAGATGAATTTAGAAAAACTGGAGATGAGATGATGATATTAAAGATTTCTCAGTTGCATCAGGGGCCTCAGAATATTAGCATTTCTGGCTATGAGCCTATTTCTCGGGTGCTATTTAGGACTCAATCTGATTATTAAATCTCTGAACATGTCACACATTGTGCACCTGTGTGGTGGGGCTGCTGTTTCTGCTGCGTCAGGTTTTATTACAGATGTTTTACTCTGACTGTGACTAGCATTTAATCTAACGGTCATATCCAAGCACAGACAGCAACACCTTCACCTCATCCCTTGGGTTCATAATCTAAATCCTTCCTCTCTACCAAATGAAAAGGGTTGTACAGAAGTCCGATTGAGTCTCTAGCTCAATGTGTTGTTAAACTCAAGCTGTCTGTGACACGTTCTCCTTTGGTACTGTGAGCTTGTTGCTATAAAACTGCTTCTATCTACAGCTCTGACCGAATTAGATCACTAGTCTATAAACACTTGTCCTGCAATCAGCTGTCTATCAATGACTCGGCTGTTTCCACGAATGTGATGCTAATCTGTTGGATTTCCCTGTCTTTCCTGATCAGCAGGTGAATGAGGAGCAGTGGAGTTTATGAGGAAGTAGATGAGTATGCCTGGCATTTAATACCTGCTGATAGAAAGAGCTTGCAAGGACACTAAAGAGTTGGCTGCATGACAGCGCTGTGAAACCTTCTGACCTTCTGACTGACAAATGTAGCTTAGCAACTTTACACTTAATTTAGCTTTCTGTGTTTTTTGAAACAGTCTTAAAAAAACAAACTAAAACATTCAACTGCTTCTTCTATATACACCAACAATGTTATTCAAATATAAATATATATTACAAAATAAATAAATATTTTATTAAATAGAAAATAGAAAAAAAACACCAAAATCCTGTATTAAAAGATGAGTGTGTCCAACTCATCCAGTTAAGCAATTCAATTATGCTGTGATTTGGAGTAATTAGGTCACATTATATGAATATAATGTTCAATTAAACTGCTGATTCTTCATTTTGATAATAATAAATATAGCATGTGGAATAAAATCCTTAAAAAAAGGTGTGTCTCACTTGTTTAGTGTAGTTCTAAAAGGCATTGGTCTGGTGTCAATGGGTTTTCAGACAAAACTAAAAGCTTGAGATAAAAAAGAATAGAAGATAAAGGATTGGACACGTGTGAAATATATGAGATGTTATGGTAATGTAGGACATCAACGGAAATATATATTTGGATGGCTATGAGAGGGTTCTCGGCTCCTCCTCCGTGAGGCTGCCATTGGTGGAGAGAGGATTTCACCTGCTGACGGCCGCCTGGCAGTAACGTCAGTAGCGCCTGAGGTTATTGTGACACAGGCTTATTTCTGGAGTGCATGTATTAAGCAGCTCAGAGATCAGCAGGCTGGATTCTTTCCCTTGGAGTGGATGAATGGCTCATATTTAGAAACTACAGAATGGCTTGCATGCAATCTAAGAAATTGGGTTCAACGATCAAATTCCACTGTGTCAGTCCAGCTGCTTGAATTCTCATTTCGTTCAGTCAAATAGGTTTATCTGATTAAACTTAACTAAAATATTTCAGGTTTGATATGCGGTCCATTTGGTAAAAAATGCATTTATGAGCATTGTGGCATCCAACAACTCAATTTGTTTTTAAACAACTCATCACAATGTAAGAAGTGTGCAAAGAGTACTTAGTAAATTCCATTTTGGCACACCAGTTAATTTTGTTAAGCTACAAGGCAATCCAACATGAGATCTAACACAGTATCTACCTCTTCATTTATCAGTTTATGGAGAATCAGATACTTTCAAATGAGCTTAAGTTGACTTTACCCCAGGTGTTTACACATAGTATAATTGCATAATACAGTCTCTGCTTTTCTTACTATATATAGAAGTTACATCACTACAAACCACCTACACAGTGAGGGTATGTCTGGATGCAGGTTACATGTAGAAATTAGACTTCCTACTCAAAGCAGCTCAGCTATTCAGCTTTAAAACAATGCGGCTTTAAAGTAGATGGAGCATACATTATAAGAGCAGCAATACAAAGTGTTTATTGTAAGTGGTCTAACATGTAGGGGGAGCAGATTAAAGACACATTGCAGATGGCAGTCATTTGAAAGTTATTACATTACATGCAAAACGTTTAGCTAATGTACAGAAATCTTACTCAGGTGTCAAAAATGCAGGGATTGTCATGAGTTTCAGCTGTCAGTCCACACATGAAAATATAACAACTGTACAGGCATCAGAGCTTAATTATGTTTACAACAAGACAAATGTTTGTTTAGGACTCTTGTCAGAATGTGTTGAGTTTCCTTTTATTTTAGCTTTGACTTAATATCCGGTTGAACAATCTTCGCTCCGGTGAGGAAGTGCCACACGCCGCCTCTGTAGAACTCGTTTCCAAACGAGTAGAGGAGAGCGTTGAAGAAGGGGTTTGTCTTCGCAATAATTGGAAGCACCTGTGAACACAAGGATTTTCTCTATGTTAGTACTTGATTTAAAGGGCAGTACAAGTTTGTTACAACTTGGGTCTCTTTTGTGCATCAGGGTCTATAATAAAAACAAAGTATTGGCAGATAAGGCCCCAAAGAGATAGAAATGAGCAGTCAATTATTTTTTTTCTGTAGGGTATTTTCTCACCAAATGGTATGTTAAATCAAACAAAAAAAGTGCTTACCATTCTTAGCTTGGGAGATACGACGGTCACGTTCTCGAAGCAGGCGTAGACACACATGGCGACGTAGGGGCACCAGCACATCAGCATCACCCTCAACGGCACCTTGGTGTTAAACTGGAGAACAAAGTTCATTAAGTGTTACTGTCGCTGTACACATGAAATGTAGTGGAAATGCTAACTAGCTAAACTAGCATGCTAACATAGCATCTGTAGTTGTTGTGTTGTTGTTGTTGTTGTTAAGGAATGGAGGTCAATTCACACATTCAACTTAAGTAGCTACTGACATGTTGGCGGCCTCATTGCGTTAGCATCTCCAAGTATGACAATTAAAATGGCCACTGTGTAAGCTACAACAGGAACAACTAAAACAAGACAGGAGAGTTCAGGTTGATAATTAGAAAAGGGCATTTTTTTTTCTGTCAAACTGATCTAACATCAAAACAAAACAAAAAGAAGTGGAAGTTCCTTTTAAAATATATCTTGCACATGTACCCTGTGGTGATGGATCTTTTTGAAGTGCTTGTTGATGGCGTCGTAACATGACATCATGATATAAGCTGGGAACAACAAGTAGAGCAGCGTCAGGGTCAGCATGTAGGTCATATAGTCCCTGTTGAAAAGAAACAAAGAGGAAAATAATTAGCCATACCTAGTGTAGGTGTTGTTTTGTCATTTTCTGCTGAATATAGGCATTGCATTGTGAATTTATAGTGATGAAAAACAGCAAACTGGCCATTTTGACCATGCCAACATTCCAGTTTGGTTAGCATTGCATATTTCTAAACTGTACCTGTCCCCTCTGGTGTAGTCCAGTGTGCAGCAGGTCCTCATAGGCTCAAAGTCATAGGCGGCCCATCCCATGAGAGGAACAGCAGCCCAGAAGATGGACAGAACCCAGATGATGACGGTCATCGTCACCGTGGTGCTCCAGAAGAGCTTCTGTTCTACAGAATAAACACATACATACTGTCACTTGGATGTGAGTAGACATTTGATTAAATATCTGTTTGTTTAGAGATTGCTAATAACGTGTGTAATGACTTTTTTTTTGCTATTTCTATTGCAATAAAAAGACTGAATCTGAAATATTCGGTTAGTGCATTATTTATTTCAATGTTTTAAGGGCGCAATGGAATACTGATGACAATACAAATACAAATGCCTGCTATATTTATTAATTGGTTTGTGTAATTCAGTGTATTAAATGGGTTTACTTTAGTGATGTTTTATATTACAGTGGAACATTTCTGGTGATGTGTTGTACTCACTGGTGCAGTACTGGTGATACCTGTCCCAAGAGAGGGCAGCCATGAAACTGATGGAGGCAAGGACCGCTATCATGCCCTGAAAACCATGAAAGGCACATCCATTTTGACCAAATGGCCAATATCTAGAGAGGACAACAAACCAAAAACAAATCATTCTCCAGCATGTATGGGGGTGTTGCCAACACCACATTTTACAAACATTTCCTATACGACTACATCAGGCTGTAAAAGCATGTTGGAAACAATGTTGAAAACATAGACAAATAGTAATATGTGAGACCCAAAGAGTGATGTGCTCTTTATTCAGTCCTGAAAAGGTAAAAACTCTAGGTGTTCACCAAAACAGTCATTCAAAAATCAACTTTAATCATTTGTCTTACTATTGCAGTTTTGGTGCTAACATGGTTCATTTTAATTAACAAATGGTGTAGGGTTCATACACAGTTCATAATGGGGTCAACACAATAAGGGGGGTCAATAGGGGCCCCTAGTGTGTTAATCTGGCCTGCTGAGGTTTTAACAGGATGTTACAAAAGTAAATGTTGCAACATTTAAATGAAGATCCTATTAGTTAACCTGCAATAGATCTGTGGAAAAAATAATCGTTCCACCCTGAATAAAGTGGAGTTTGGATTGTGAAACCCAAAAGGTTATTTAGTTTGTGCAACCCATTGGCTAATATCAAATCAAGGGGCCTTTGTATAAAGAATACAAGGGGCCTTTGTATAAAGAAGTCATCTTTGATACCTGAGGTAGCTCGAATACGCAGCTGTGAGTCCATTAATATTCAATAAGAGGTCAGCCACAGCCAGGTTGAACACAAAGAAGTTGCTGGGAGTTCGCAACTCCTTCACTCTGACAAAAGCCAAGATGCTGATAGCATTTAGGAGAAATCCAAGCAGACCTGAAAGTAAAAAAAGAAAACACATGTCTATTTAGTTTTACACTGTTATTAGTCTGAGTTTATCAACACAGTTCTTTGTAAGGTTGTAAATAATATCACCAGCTTAATTGTTAACATCACAATGAGAACAACATGAAAGGTTGGGATTTTCCTGATTTAAGATGCTTTTATTATTTAGGGGAATTCAGAGTGAACTGTCCCTTTAATTGTCTCAAGATTCCGGTGTGCTCGTTGAACTCACTTACCCCCAACAAGAAGCGCTGAGCCGTATGTAAACATATCAAACTCCGTGAATCCCTCCGGTAATGAATACGCTGCCATGTTGAAGTACACAAATCAAACTTTTGCATAAAAATACCAAGTCCTTTTCCCGTGTAACGCACCACCGTCTGCTGCAAAACGACGCCTTATAAAGGCTCTTTCACGTGAAAAAGCACAAAGACACTAATCTTAGTCAACCCCTCCTGAAATCCCCCAAAGAATGTCCTAACGAGCAGACTTTCTGCAATGTGCGATCACCAAAAGTTTGCGCGTTTGCTGCTCAACTCTTTGGTGCACGTTTGTTGATTCAGAGCTCAGCTGTGATTTTGGTCAATTTGAGTGAATTTATGGCCACAGCAGGAAACTTTCTGGAGAGACGAACTTTTCCCTCAACAACTTGGCTCGGCTGTTATGTTGCTGTGGTTAATGGGGGGGAAATGGAAACATGGGAAATGTTGTTTTCCACGAAAGTGTATCGATTAGCAAAGATGTGAGACACCAAGAAGCATGTTAACCCCACATATTGTAGGTTTAACTTCACATATCACAACATAACCGGTAGAATAACAATTTAATGGTTATTTATTTTAGCTTCATGTTATTGTTGCTCATTGACATGTCTCTCCGATGTCTGAAGCACATTTTTAATTTTGGTCTATATAAATAATGTATTATTGGACCGTTTTTTAAACTTTATCCATGAATATAATAAGGAACTGCGCATTTAAATTTGATCTAGGTTTTTAATTTTAAAACGTCAACTAAATTAATTGCATACATTTGTGTGTATATATACACATATTGATACCACTTTACAATAAGACTACCCTTATAAAGGATTCAAAAAGGGTTTATAATTAGGTTATTAATTAGGTTGTAAACACTTTATTAATCATTAAGAACCATTTATAAACCAGTTCTAACATAGTTTTCATAGGCTCACTATTTGGCAAGATGACTAAGCCTTATATTGGCTACCTATAGCTTAGTTCGTCTTCTTCATCAGCCAGCATCCTTGGTATCTGTTGTTCACTGAGTTGATTCTCCCCCATCCATCTTGATGTTTCTTGGCATCTCTTTATGACCATTTATTTACGAGTTACTAACATTTATAACTGCCAAAAGGGAGCCTTATTGTAAAGTGTAAAACACATTCCCATTTATGAATGAGTTACTACCATTTATAATAAGGTTTAGCAGTACAGATACATGTGGGCTCATTATTTGGAAAGCAACCGGTCACAGTTGCCCTATTAATCTCATGTCTTATAAAAGCTTATTAATGATGTATAAAGTGTTCACAACCTAATTAATAAATGAAGTACAAACTATTCGTAAACCCTTTATAAGAGTCTTATTGTAAAGTACCCACATATTACAAACAGTTATAGGCCTATGTTGTTAAGTATATGTTAAAACACCATAACGAGATGTGTACCTGCTATTGCACAGAAAACTCAAGAGTTTTAATGTCAGGAAAGAAATGTCACCAATGTCTAAACTCACTTTCATTAATAATCCACGTAAAAGGCCCCTTAGTTCCAACTACCAGATATCAACACTAGTCATTTAGACAGAATACAACCCTCACATGCTGTATCATTTACTTTTAAGACATGTTATGGACACATTTCTGTTGCCTTACAGAGAATCAATGTTTTTTTCAACAATGTGAATCTGAGGTTTCAGCTCAAAGTTTGCATGTTTTATAAACCTTTAATGAGGAAACCCTGTTTTAATCTTTTCACAAAACATAAATGATGGATGTACAGTCAAGAAATTAAATAACTCACAACACAAACTCTACTTTATTAGAGCCGCACTTATTAGCCACATTAAGTAATAAAGACATCTAAGAATTCATCACAAACGTATTCATTTCTGTTCACCAAAATAACCCTCAGTATCATTTGACTTGAGGCAGCCCTTACATTTAAAAATGTAACAGTTGGGGAGTCTGATTGCATAACTAATCTGCCAACAGATTACCACAAACTCATTAACTATGAAGTCATGATGTGTCCCGGTAGACTTATAATACCCTTTTCACAAACCGTCCATATTGTCCTGAGTTAGAACTCAGTGTGCCGTACCGTTACAGACTTCCTCACATACGGACAAAAGAGCTGCAGAGTGGATGCTTATCACTGCTCTGACACTGCTCAATATTACAGATAAAATACAACATTTTGAGCATATGATGTGTATATCAGATATTTGGTCTTATGCCCAATCACAACAGTAGGCTATACAATGTTCACAGTCAGGTTCATAGAGCTGCACAGTCCCAGTTTCACAATGCAAACGTTTAAATACAACAATCTGTTAATCTTCTGCAGCTGAGTGTGAGGAAATAATAGCCGGCCTAAACCGATATCACCAACAACATGAATAGAGTGGATTGATCGATTGCAAATATCCTCAAAGCCAACGTCACAGATGTACTTTTAAATTTAGAGAAGATTAATCTGAACAACTTTATTTGTTGTACTTTCCTTTCGTGTACTGTTTGATGCCTAGTTGACAACAAACTATTCTTTAGCACAATAAAGCCTTATCTTCCAGGAAGAAATCCTTATCTCATTTACTTTGTTAATCAATATCATCTTAGCAGGAGGCTAGCAACAAATGAGGAAATGAACTGTAACTCAACTGAATCAAATATTACAAACCCTGTCTGTAATATGTATTTTGTATTTCTCCAAAGTGCTTGCAAGCTTGCAAGTGCTTACACATTGATGCATTGACCAATAGTTAATCACACCGTCATAATCTGTTGGTTTGGCAACAAAACAATGGTCCACTGTTAACCTTTACACCGACAGACTCCAGAGAACAGGAGTAAGATGAAAAACCGAACTAATGTTTTGGTTTATTCCTGTCAAGTATCACAGAAATACGGCATTAGGGTACTTTTTCTCCTCAACAACTAAGAGGGATGAGTATTCATTATTATTCCACTGTAATTTGATGCTAGATATTTTGTCCCATTTTACATTTACCATGAGAACATAATGCCATGATGGAAAGTAACTGCACATTCACTAAACTAAAGAACAATTTTGAGTTAAATTCACTTGTATTGTCATCTCTACACACAAACAATAATATAACTGAAATAAGTGTGTGTACAATGTATAATTAATACTTTTACTTTTGACACTTTGATCAATTTGCTGATATATATTATTGCTGAATAATTCATGTACTTTTACTTAAGCAATATTTTGAATGCAGGACTTTTTGGAATATTTTTTAATTGGTGTTTCTACTTTAACTTAAAGGTCCCCTATTATACTGTTTTTCATCAATATATTATAGGTCTCAGTTATATACAAAACATGTCTCTGAAGTGTTTAGCTCGAAATACCAAACAGATCATTGCAGCATCCCATAAACCCCTCTGTTTCAGCCCTGTTTCAAAAGTGCTGATTCTGTGTCTGTTACTTTAGATGAAAATAAGGAGCCACTCCCCACGCCCCTCTGAGAGATATTTGGTTAAAAAGAACACAATGGTGCTCTAGGAGGAGATTCAGGTGATAAGGTGGAGGGTGTTACCTTGGTTGGTGATTGGCTAATGGTTACACAAGCCAAAACATCGTTATGACATCATAAAGTGGCCACAATCTGGTCAGCTCATTTTCAGACAGGTTTTTATATAAATGGATCAGGACAAAAAGAGAGGGGGTATTTTTTCCTGAAACTTTCAGAATCTCTTTACACATAGGGGACACATGTTTATGTATACAAGACGTGAACAAGTGGATTTTACATAATAGGTCCCCTTTACGAATCGTAATACTACGTATACACACACGTATCAACCTTGTTGAGCAGCTTTACATCCAATTTTTTCCAATTGCTTTTCTGTACTATTTCACTTTCTCCAGATAGTGGGATTTTCAAGCTGTACACAGACTTGGGCTATGACAACAATTTATTCTTGGATTTATGTTTTTCCTTTGGCCTAGGACAACCCTCCTGAAAGAAATAGAACAAAGATGTATTAATAAGAGACGGAGAGATGACTGGATTAAAGGATTTCAAATCCTGTTGCACGGCCGTGTCTAAACCTCTGCACCTGGGAAAAACCTCAGAAACCGTGACAACACTTCTGTCCTCATAAAGTGTGTCATAGATAAAATACTAACATGTTCTACAGAATATTAATGCAAATGATAATAACATAATACAGCATCATAAATAAATAATAATGCAAGAATATTCTCACATGATTATTACACTACTAAAAAGCATGGTTTATTTTATATTTATTTAAACCCAGTGATCAACTGCATATGGTTACATAGTGATATATTTGTTCTTGTTTAAAGTTTGGGATTAATATAAAGAAAGTGAGTAACACAACACAATAGGTGCCTGCAGAAACTCTCCACTGCCATCTAGTGGTCGTGTATTGCACATGTTCTGAATGCTGATTCAACCTGTCTGCATGTATTAAACATTATTAATGCACCACGTAAATAAACAGCCATTATTTTAGTACAGGCTAACATACCAAGAAAAGATGAACATGTCCTGAAACTGTAAAACATTCCTGGGTTTTCATATCAGAGTTGTGATCTGTTTTTGGTGACTACTTTGAGGTAGGAGTCCCATCACTCTAATAGTGTTTACTCAAAAACAAAATATATATATTTCATTTGTGTCTAGGAATTCGTCTTTTTAAATGATTCTATCTGACAAAATTAATTGTTTCAATTATCCATTAAGGTAAACTATATGCAGATAGAGTTGTATCTACCTGCAGCTTCCACTTTATTTATGTGCGGTACAGTTTTACGTGTCTACAATAAACCATCCAATCAACTATTGGAAAGTATTTTTCAGAGAATAAAAGTAAAAACGGTACAGCCTATCAGCGTCCAGGAAGCAATAGCCTTATCGTGTGATTGAAAATAACCCAAGTCCCTTCACTAATCCCTGCCTATCCTTTTTATCTCAGGATTCAGACCAGTCGGAGCAGTATGGAGCTGTGAGCCTGCAATCCACCACGATGCATCCCATGCCCCGTTAACCGCGAGCTGTAGCGCCTTTTTTAATTGTAGTTTAGCTGCTTAGCCTTTTGTAGCTTGCAGGAGTAAAAATGAGTCGACATTTTACTGCTGCTTTTTGTCTGGCTTTAGTTGTTCTCCCTTTGTTGTGCAGTTCATGTCCTGCACAATGCAGCTGCTTCTACCACAAATTAAGCGACGGATCAAAAGCAAGGTAAATATGTCAATTTATTAAATTAAGCATTATTGTCGTTGGATTTAATTCTCAGCAGGCCCTACATGTTTTATTCTTTAGTGCGTGCCAAAGTGATTTTCACGGAAGCCTTCTTCTGTCCTGTCACTCTGCATAGTGGAGGATTAACTTGGAGTGGCCCTTTAATCTCCTTTGCTTGTTACTGAACAATAGGTTACTACGTTTTTCTCAAATATCTGTGTTATTTTAAATCCAAAATGAAGGCTGAAAATATATATTTTGTATTATTAAATCCACTCCAGCAAACCCCTCCAATTTTAAAGAAGCATTTATTTAGTTCCTCCTGACTGAACATTTCATTGATTATATTTGTGTTATTTTCTGCAGGAGTGTACTTTGCAATGACCCAGAGATCACTGTGGTTCCTCCAAATTTTCCCAGTGACACATCGAAGCTGCGAATTGAAAAGACAGCAATCACACGGATTTCAAGTGACAACTTCCACTACCTCAACAACCTGGAGTTTTTGTGGATGTCTTTTAATTCACTGAATTCACTGAATGTGGACAGTTTCCGGGGTCTGCACAACCTGGATGAGCTCCGGCTAGATGGCAATTCTCTGACCTCTTTCCCCTGGGAGTCTCTGACTGACATGCCAACCCTGAGGCTCCTGGACTTACACAACAACAAGATCTCCGCCATCCCAGCCGATGCCACTATTTACATAAAGAATCTCACCTATCTGGATTTATCCAGCAACACTCTTAACACAGTTCCCTCTGAAGTTCTCACATTGTGGCTGAGTGTGAAGCCATCCCAGGAAGCAGATTCCTCTAAACTAATTCTCGGTGAGGATCAAGCGGTGACATACTGTATTGGGACACAAGAACTTATTATTTTTAAGCTGCCTTGCATGACGACCACTTCTTTGACATTAGAAGCATTTAAAGCTAAATTAGGGATTAGTCTAATTATGTGTGTCATGTCGTAATGACGATGAATATTTTCATTTAAACAAACAGCCACATGTACTTGGTCCTGGTATTACTTGTTTTTGTGCATAGGAAAATGTACTGGACTATAGTGACAGAACTATTTTTGTTTTACCGTCTGCTGTTTGTCACTTGATTTCCCCTGCAGGTCTCCATGACAATCCGTGGATGTGTGACTGCCGACTGTACGATCTGGTCCAGTTTCAGAAATCTCCATCATCATCTGTTGCTCTCATCGACACCAGGCTGCGGTGCGCTGATCCAGAGAGTTTGTCAGGGGTTCTTTTCACTGAGGCGGAGCTGCAGAGGTGTCAGGGCCCACGGGTGCACACGGCCGTGGCTCGTGTACGCTCGTCACTGGGCAACAACGTCCTGCTGCGCTGTGGCACAGTTGGAGTCCCCATTCCCGAGCTGTCCTGGAGCCGCGCTGATGGCAAGAAGATGAACGGCACCAGTAAGTTCTGCTGATCTACTTCCAGATGTGCTTAGAATAGAACATTATCTATTTCTGTTGATAGTGAATGTGTCAATGAGATTAAAGCTGTTCTTTTTGTGCTAATCTATTGAACTAATCACTGATCGTCTGCCCTTTGCATTATCCAGTTCAGGAAGAGATTTCGAAGGAGGGCATCATATGGTCGATTCTGAGTGTCCCTGCAGTCGCCTACAGAGATTCTGGGAAATATGTGTGCAAAGCAACCAACTTCGTGGGCACTGCAGACGCCATTATCTCTTTGGTGATCACAGATTCCATTCAGTCGGAGGAATCGATTGCTGCTGTCTCCAAGAAAACAAGAGGGAAGAAACCTGGGGGCATGGGAAGAGCGGCATACCAGGAGAAACTTATTGCCAGATACGTTCCTCCATCAACCACCGCAGCTGCTCGGCCCATAATCGAACCTCTAAATGGCAAAGGAGTCACTGGGAAGTATAAGATTGAAAGCTACAGCATCTCTGATGGTGCTTCTGAGGGTAAAGGCAAGGCAGCAGACCCTCAGAAACCGGTGGAGGTGGACGCTCTGAGCAACCTAGCAGCCAATGCCTCATCCTTACAGAAAGTTCCGGAGAAAAGGGTAGTGCGATCGGTGAAAGTGATTGGCGACACGGACCATACTGTCTCTTTGAACTGGCGAGCCCCTACAGCCACAAACATCACAGAATTCAGCGTCCTTTATGCTGTATTTGGCGAGAGAGACATGCGTCGGCTGAACGTAGCCGCGGGGAAGAACCGAATCACCATTGCCGGTCTTGTGCCTAAAACAAAGTACATTGCTTGTGTTTGCGTCAAAGGCCTGATCCCGAAAAAGGAGCAGTGTGTAATCTTCTCAACAGATGAAGCAGCCAGTGCTAGCGGCACTCAGAAGCTCATTAATGTGGTGGTGATAACAGTGGCATGTGTGATCGCCGTCCCCCTGACACTGATCGTGTGCTGCGGGGCGTTAAAAAAGCGCTGCAAAAAGCTGCTGGGGCGAGAGTCCAAAGAAATTCAGGACTCGTACGTAACGTTTGAGACCCTGGGCCCCGGGGCCAAAGGTAAAGGGGTGGAGGGCGAGTATCTGACCAGGATGAACCCTGATGAATCCAACAGGTTGCTCTCAGCGAGGTCCAGTGTTGACTCCGAGGCCACAGCCAGGAATGAGGGGCCACCTAACGAGTACTTCTGCTAAAACCAAACGAATGCCTCAACTTCCAGATGATGCACTTTGTTTTCTAACGGTTTACGATGGGAATAGATTACTGCTGTGCTCAGAGACTTGAAAGGCTGAGGACAGCGGACACTGATTGGATGTATGGAGTTGTTTTAAAGCCTTGTGGGAATAAAAACCACCATTCATTTGGTGGACCACGAAAAAGGGAAAATAAACACAGTGACACGGTTCATTTACATGTTGTGTACAGTATGTTTGTAATAAATAACTTTTTTTTGTATTCATCATGCACTTTTAAAGTTTGTTTTGCAGAGGGAAATGTTGCCCTTAACTTTCTGAAATCAAATAATTTCAATTTTTCCAAAATGTACCTTCTGCATTGTGTTAAAATCTGTTTTAAAAACTAAGTATTTAGAGAGATGATGAAGCAGCAGTTATGAGTGTATTTTCTATGTAAGTACGTTAATGTGCCAGGTTTAATGTTGGGTCAAAAAACCTAAAATATTGTACATTTTATAATGTGTAAATATTTGTGACCAAAAATAAATGTCTATATACATGAATGTACTATATAAAAATAAACATTTTTCATATTGATGTATGCTCCCAAGTTTTTTCTTTCTTTGCAAAATATTGATTTTTATCATTATTCATCTTGACTGAAGCGAAAATTAGCTTGCTGGCACGTTACATAATGCATGTTGCTAACTAAAGGAACATTAAATGTTAATGTATTGTACAGCCAAAGTCACTAAGCATTTAATATTTTGTGAAACTTTCCTAAATTAATAGATCTGTGCGGTGGATCAAGATCCTAATGTTGTGTTCATGGCTAAGTAGCACATGCTTACATGCTAAACTAAGACGGTAAACATTAGACCTGTTAGCATAGCTCTCAGAGCAGCTAGCGAGCTTTGTTTAGGCCTGTTAACATGTGAAGCATCAACCATACCTGCATTCTCTGAAAAAGATTTAGGTGTAATGAATTTAACTTGAAAGCCTAGAATATAAAGATGTGTAGATAAGTTAACAACAAATCCTCAATCAAATTCCCTTAATCAGAACTAGCTACTGTAGATAGCATTTTTCAAGAAAGTTGGCAATTGTCTCTGGATGAATTGTACTGCCATGCACGTAAACAAACACAATTATCAATACTTAACTTAAAATGTGTATGATAATATGGAGATTGCTGACATTACCAATAGCGGATTCATGTCTTTGTCTGCTAAACTAGCATGCGCAGCAATAAAGAACATGGATATGTAGGAAACTCAAGGACTATAGATGTTGTCTGTTTTCACACTTGCTTTTTATGCTGATTCAACAACCTGAGAGAGAACCAGTGTTCAGATTAGAGAGGTCAGATTACAGTCCTCTCCAGACATCTGTCACTCTGTCTCTGTGCGGCCCTCCCTCTCTGTGCGGCTAAGCCTGACCGGCTCCGGCCCGCTTAATACAGATGGCCCTCCTGTCAATGCCTGTGCTTTGGTAGGGGACAAATACATTAAATTTCACTGGTGCTAAGCAGTTTGTTGCTGAAATATCAAAACTCAATTTTGATTGAACATATTGTGTTGTCCTTCTTTTGAGCTAAACTGACGATGTTTTCCAGACAAGGTGTACTATTGCTATAAATACCTTTCCTGTCTCCTGTGTGTCTCACATGTCACTCGGTGTCTTAAGTGTTACGTCAATGAAGATTAAAGTAATAGGCTTTCTTCCAAGCAGTCCTGCCCTCACAGGCCTATTTCACATGCTCCTCCGGGAATATGGACAACTTTGGTGTCGCATTACGTATCACTTTGGTATTTTATCTTTTCACCTCTGGATCATCAACTTGTTTGACCGGTTGCTCTTGCACAGATGACAACTTGGGAAGGTAGGTGAACATTGAAACTATACAATCTCTTAAAGTAGGTTATGTGTTAACCCCATTGTTTTCAATGCTACCAAGAAGATCTTTGTGAACAATATCTTTACATTTGCACAAATGGTGCATGTACATGAGTAGATATATAAAATAAACACTTTAATTGTCTAAAAATATCCCACATTTCCATTCTAGGTCTTTACTATGTATGGAAACCTCCATGGGACGAATCCCAGACAACATCCCACATGATTTCACTAAAATCCGAATTGAAAACTGCCACCTGACCGAGTTACCGCAGGGATCTTTCTCTAAAGTTAGTGCCTTGGAGTTCCTCTGGCTGAATTTTAATGAGATCACCTTGATGAACGTTAAAAGTCTGGATGGGTTGGAAAACCTGACCGAGCTCCGGCTGCAAGGGAACAAGCTGACTTCAGTAACATGGACAGCGTTTCAGGACACGCCAAAACTGAAGATTTTGGACCTGAAGCACAATCGACTGGATGTCCTGCCCGAACACGCTCTGAGACATTTACCTGCACTGACCTACTTAGATTTATCCTTCAATCAGCTTAGTGTGATATCAAAAGATGTCTTCATTAATTGGCCTCTTTACCAAACTGCAGAAAAAACATGGGGGAAAGAAGGCGTGGTCTCAAATGTGGTTTTGGCACTGCATGACAACCCCTGGTTGTGCGATTGTCGTCTCAAAGGCTTTGTTGAATTCATCAGGGTGGTCAGCCCTCCCATCATTCTCATGAACTCTTATTTGATGTGCTCTGGCCCCGCCTCCAAAGCTGACAAGTTCTTCCATGAGATCCAGTTAAAAACATGCATGAAGCCAGTGGCCTCTGCCCCAGAGACTAACATCACTTTACCTCTCGGAGCAAATGCAACGCTCACATGCTTAGTAAAGGCCAGGCCAGGTCCAACCATTAAGTGGATGTACAGTCTGAAGATTATAAGAGGATTTGCGGGTAAGATTTTTTTTTTATTACTACCATCCATTAAACTGTTGTGAACCTGCTCCCGGAGCACTTAGTGTGGTGTATGTCAAACTCAGGCTGCATCTATGATGAAAAGATTCAGGAACAATACCATTTCAGGGTTACCTTACTATGTCTATATTGCATGTAAACAAACCTCTGACTCTATGGTTTCTCCTTGCAGCCACAGAGACCAACACAGACGAGGAGACCATCACCTCAGAGCTGGTGATCCCCTCTCTTCACCTGGCAGACCAAGGACTCTATACCTGCACTGCCAACAATTTCATTGGCAACTCCTCTGTCGCCATCACGGTTAATATCAGCCCCTTCAACTCCTCTGCTCTTCTCCCTCCACCTGTTCCCATGGTGTCGTCCGATGAGAATTCCAACATTGACATCCGCATCGCCAAGCAGACAGTTTACGGTATCACCCTCGAGTGGCACGCAGAAACAGACAACCCAGCAGAAACCTGGTTCACCATCCACTTTGGTAAATATGATTTACCCAAGAAGGAGATGATCTACATCGGCCCCGGCATCAACACCTACAGCCTCAACGACCTGCTTCCTGTCACCAAGTACGAGGTGTGCGTGACCATAAAGAACCACAAGCCAAAGGAAGGCCAGTGCATTGTGTTTGTGACAGGAAGTGACATCAGTGAGCTGGAGCAAAGAGAGAGGCTCATCCACATTATCGTCATTGTGTGCGCCATGGTGTTGGCAGTACCAGTGGGCATGTTCGCCTGCACCACGGAGGCCAGGTTCAGCTGCTTCGATCGCTGCGTGAATCTGTGGAAGAAGCGCAGGCTGCATGGGGGAAACCTCCAGGGGACCGAGAGGCAGGGGACCTTTGACAGCCTGCAGGCAGCCAGCGATGAAGGCCTGTGTAGGGACTCGGAAGAAAAGCCGAAAAAGAGGCGGAAGTCTGAGGACAAGTGCAAAGGAGGAAGTGCAGCTCAGCTCTACTAGAATCTAAATCTAAAACTGTACATAGATGTGCATTTGGAAATAATGTCAGTGTGCTTCTAATGTATCATGTTGCTGTTTGAGTCACAGGGCTGAGCATTCGGTTTTCCGGAAAAATACCGTAATCTTAAAAACTAGGATCATTTAACAAAGATGATTTACACTACACTAAGATTATTGCTACATCTGGATGAAAAAACACAAACACACTTTGAGAATTCTTGAATCAAGATCAATGATAAGTTTGATTGCATATTCCTTGAGATGTTTTTTTATTTGCAGGGTTTTTATTTGTCGGAAAACTCTGCGACTGAATTGTAACACTAACACATAACAGGTACAATCGGGCTATTTTAAGTTTACTCATGCTGTAAATATATATATGTATACCTCAAGCTAATAGCTCAAAGTGGAGATGCCTTTCTTCCTTATTATAAGGAGAGTTTGTTAATATCTGTGTTAATATACATGTACAGAAAGAACTTTGTGATAAAATGCATTTGATATTTCTGTAGTTTTGATACTAAATGAAAAATTATGCTAAATGTAAAACATGTAAAAATCAATATTGTGTATATTTTAACTCCCTCAAACAAAAATGTAATTGTTTGTTTTGGCTCAGGAGGTTTCAATTCACTTTATGTTAAAAAAATATCCTTTTTCATTGTGTTTCTTTTGGCAGATTCCAGATTTGATGTCTTGCAATGGAATGAAATGCTGTTTGGATTAAAGGGAAGTCAGAGACAAATGCTGAGACATACTCTGATTTCTTTACATAAGCTGTGTTTTCCCGTGCATTTATACATACGTAAGCAGATTAAAGCGATTTTCTATCTGAATCCTAGTCAGCAGGACATGATATTTCCATTTAATGACAGCTCCGAGCCCACTGTGTCTCTCTGTATCAATTGTAGGCATACTGAATAGAGGGCCTTTTTTTTACATTTCCTATTCATTTTTCAGTCTAATTAAAAAAATTCTATACTATATACCTCTTCTTTTATTAAATGAATACAATTTGACATACTATACACTGACATTTTTTCTAATATTTTTGACGTACTATACTATGACTTTTAATTTAAAAATAGTGTACACTCACTGATATATGCTATGTAATCTTTTCAGATATCTTTGACATTTTATACTATGATTGCTTTTCAAAATACTATACACTGAGAATACACTTAACAATGCCATTACTTTTATATATTTTTTTGACATACTATACCATGATTTTTGTTCAATACAACGACTTTTTTCATTATATTTTTGACTTTTTTCATATTTCCATTATACTATACTATAATCTTTTCATGATATTTTCAAGATACCATACTTTGATTTTTTTCGACATACTATACTATGACTTTTCTTTCGACGTACTATGACTTTTTTTTCCGACATACTATGTTGTTTTTTCTGAAATGTTTGAGATACTATACTATGACTTTTCTTTCAAAATACTAAACACTGACTGTTTTCTGATATTTTTGACATAGTATACTATTTCGTTTTTTCTGATATTTTAGATATACTATGATAAGACTTTTATTCGAGGTACTATACTTTATTTGAAAATAGTAGACACTGACTGATATCCACTATGTAGTTATTTATGATTTCTTCCACATTTTGAACTATGACTTATTTTTCAAAGTACTCGACATACTACTGTATACTATGTTGTTGTTTTTTGGGATACTATACTATGAATTTTTCAACAAACTACACTATTACTTTTTTATAATCTTTATATAAATACTACATGATGACTTTTCTTCATATTCTTTTATATAGTATACTATATTCTTTATAGTCATGAAGAATAATGACTTTCTTCAACATACTACATACTACTACATGCTGAGCCCCAGACGGCCCCCTCACATGTAAATATCACCCATGTGTGAGATCCGTTGTTTCTAAATGTTTTGTTTCTACTTTAAATGAATCAAAACATATTAAAAACTAATATAGCCTCGGGACAAAATGGAGCACAGACCAAATCATTTTTTAAATATTTATTCAAAATCAAGACAGTACAAAGACGGTACAAATGTTACTTCAAAGGACCAGGCAAGTGTTATTTAAGGGAAGATATATACTGTTTATCTTCAAGATATTTAAAATGAAAGATATAGTCAGATACAAGGTATGGGTTACAGCAATTAAATGTATTTTATTTGCCTATACATTTGAAGGCATTGAAGAGAAACATGGAAAGTAATACCTAAATGTTCAACATAGACTTTTTATTTCTATATCTATATATACAAAAGAAATGCCCAAGCATGTTATGTACATAGTTATCTATTCCTAAAAATCTTGTGAAGTTGGATGGTTTAATTTTTACGATTTACTTGTATGTTATGTATTGCTGCAAGATACAACAGAGACATGTTTGTATCTTGTCATATATGCATTATGTACATTTCAAATGTCATTGATATAAAAGCATTTTTCTAGAATTACACACTCAAAAGAATAACATTACATTGTTAGCTGTTTACTTTGAAAACCTACAGTGGCACATTGTAATCATACAAAATAGCAACCTCTCAGCTTTCAGACAGCTGATGTAAAACAGTTAAAAATGAACAAACAGGTCATTTAGCACTTAATAAGAAGCAGTGTCATTTCTGACCGTGTCGTTCAGCTGCACGCTCTAGTGAGCAAGAAAACGTTTTTTTCAAGGATTTCTTTCAGTTAAATCCTAAATCTGTGTTTAAAACACAATCAATTAATCTTTTCAGAGAGAGATGCAACTAATGTATACAGATTGAGTCTAAGTAATCCTCTTCCTGGTGCTTCTTACTGTTGAGACGATTACATCTTCCTCAAGATGGCAGTGTGGTGAGTTATGTCCCACTACCAGACACACACTACAGCTCTCTTGAGACTGATGATGCCCACTTGTTTAATACCTCATCTCAAGACGTAAATATCTGTACATCTTCTTGTTACACTTCTCTTACCATTCCGTCATGAATGATCTACAGGTAGGCCCACCCTAATAGATCATCACATGCCGGAGACAACTTCCGGGCAGTAGAGAGTGACAGTAGTTACAGCACCTCAAACTGGGCGCTTGTTTGACAAAGTTAATAATTACTTTGGTTGCTCTCAACGATTTTCTGCTCAAGCCTCATTTTAAGCTCTGACACCAAAGCAGAGCTGAAATTTCCCTCTTTGAGCTGGCAATATTTAGCTTTTTTCATGGAGCCTTTCGACGCCAGCACACCAGATACTGTCGGGACCGCCCAAGACCTCTCATTGGACCGTGTGTTACATGGGGGCGGAGGAGCGCAGGGGGGTGGAGGCCTCAGTCGGGGGCTGTTGGTTTTTCTATCTTGGTTGACTATGAGCAACTCATCAGGGTTATTGAATTTGACAACAGGTGATTTGAAGATCCAGGGCTTCTGGTTCCTGGTTCGCCTCTTAATGATGCGCCGTGCTGGCAGGACCCTGTTTGACTTTAAGTTGCGCATGTACATCACTGTAGAGATCAAGACAGTCACCCCTACCATTAAGCTAATGACAACAATTACCATGCCTAGAGCTCTCATTGGATTGTCCCTACTTTTCATTAAAAAGGCCGCCATAGGCCCCTTGAGAGGAGTCTGTGAAAGAGCAAAATAAAAAAATTGTTTTAATCAAGTCCAAAGGACAGAATCCAAGCGTTAACTGAGCATTTGTTCAAAGCATGCAAGCATGAGATGGATGCGCAAAGCACTGACAGAGGAAGACCAAACAACAAAGTGATGCTCCTAAACTCACCCCTGTCTTCCTCCTGTCCTCAGCACAGGACAGCTAGTGCAGAGCTAACTATGCTGACACTAGGTGTTGGGAATGCGTCTGGCAGTGCGATGCATTAGGGTTTCTCTTTGGCATGTGACGTATGAGGGCTGAGTAAGAATGATAACAGCTCATGAGGTCAGAATGAAATGAAGTGCATGTTTGAGACAAATGGACATAAAATGCAAGAATCCAGGATTAAATCCAAAGAAAAGAGCTCGTCTTTGTCACTTGAAAAGCCTTAGAGTCTGAGTCATGCACTAGAAAAAACATTTTAAACAATTCTGTAAAAATCAAATTTTCCATCAATTTGGAATATTTACCAAAAAATAAAACTAATAAAAAACGTTCAAAAACGCTCCAGTACTCCTTTACACAACATAACCGATACAAAATATATAGCTATCTTAAAGCTTTCATATATCCCTCACTTGGTTCTGCGCACCACTTTGATATAGCTACTCTCTGGGTTGATTCTGGACCGTTTCACCGAGTCACAGTACAGGATTGTGGATATGCAGGTTGTTAGTAAAATGAGGGAAGTGACAATGCTGAGACAAATTCCAAAAACAGTCAGCGGACGCTTGCTGAGGCCCATGAAGTATGAAATAATTCGGCCTTTGATCTGAAAAGCACGATACAGAAAACAGAAACAACACCAAAGACAGGGAGTCATCCATCATGCAGAGTGAAGGAATGAAACAAGGTAATAACAAGGTACTTTATAACATAAAGTAATATATGGAATAATGTAAATGACTGAACCAGTTAAAGGATAATGCTGCTGTTGATATTTTTCACACAATTAATTGTTGGTTTTGGTCTCTTCGTAGGACTTGATGCTAATTATGACAGCCAAGAAATTAGCAGCATTATCCTTTAAAGAATATGAGATCAATGAAGGATGATTGGCTGAAACAATGATGATGAAATAGCATCTGTGTAGCATGACAACAATGCCTATTACCATATGTTAAACTGCTGAATCTACAGCTCAAGCTGCCTAAAGCGTGCAATAGAAAGCGCTGTTAGCATGCTGCGCGTCAGAACCAGCCTTACCGCCTCAGTGATATCGATGTTGACCACGGCCGTTGTGCTGAAGGATGGAGAGCCTCGGTCCCTGGCCTGGACCACCAGAGACCACTTGCAGTCCTTCTGCTTGGTGATGTTCTGCACAATCTCCATGGACTTGATGTACGGCTTCAGCTGGATCTCTCCTGTGTCTGCATTGATGTCAAACGCGTTGTCGGGATCTGCCGTCATGATGGAGTACTCGATGACGTTGTTCGGAGACTCTGCATCTTCATCCACTGCCTAGAGAAAGTAGCAGAAATAACATAAAATTGTTAGGCTGCCAGCTTCAAATCAATGTACTTAATGGAAATGTGTTTTGCAAATCACAAAGCAAGCCTACAAGAGTATTGTGATGAAGGTGATGTACAGTGCATTTCATAAGGACATATGCAGGAATCCTTAATTTAAAATGAATACATTTTAAGACCTTTTTTAAGACCCTTTCCATACATTTTAAGAACACTTTACCACTTTAAATACTAACCAATCACATAAGCTATACACTTAACTTATATATGATAACCTTCTTGTATTAACTTGTCAAAATAACATACAACAATACAAAAAATTATAATTGTGAATGCCATAAAAAAAGTAATATGAAGTCATATTATAATCATAGTATACCAAAAAATGGCATAAATAACATGAAGGTCTCATAGTTAAGTACAATTGCTAATCCATGACATAAAAAGGTAATTGTTCATTAAAATCAGTCCTTTCAATGTCATTTTTGTATTATTATTTTGTATTATTTAGCTTTAAAATTGGCACTCCTGGACTTCCATACAATGTTGTTTAAATGCCAGCAGGACCACACACAGCTAGTGCCTTATCGATTCTGAGTAAAAGGGGGAAATGCTTTGACATTATGTACCTCCACTCTGACTGGTGTACCAATTATCATGGTCTTTTCCAGGAGTTGTTCATCAAACGATGGAGAGTGGTCGTTTATGTCGAGCACCGTGACAAAGGTTTCCGCCAAGCTGTACTTCCCCTCCGAATCTTCAGCCTTGACGTAGAAGTTGTATTTGGACCTGACCTCTGCGTCCAGGCTGGTCCAGGGCTGCGTGGAGATGAGGCCTGTCGCCGGGTGGATGGAGAACCTGCAGGATCAGAGACGTTCAGACAGTGTATGAGTCATTCTGAGTCAAACACGAGCCAGGTGTTAACTAAGGCGTCTCAAATTCACAGCAGATGACATCGTGTGAAGCTCCACATGACTCGCTTTGAAAGTACGATAAAAAAAGCAGATCCTTTATCGCAGGAAACATGTTGTCAAAACATCCTGATTGGTCATAGAAATAGGAATACACAGTGAATTATTATCCTGTAATGTGTCTAAGGTGCTGTGTTGTTTATAGCTTATGAATGTTATATTTAAATTCCTTCATTTCAAATGATTCATTATAATGAGTTACATTTATTTGTATGTTGTCTACCTTCTTTGTCTGTTTGCCATGATCCTTTAACATGTGACTTCCCTCTCTAATGATCAAAAAAGTCTGAGCTATGAATATGAATAAAGATTGACACTATCTCCGACAATAATGTTGTGTTTCTTTGTCCTGAATATGTAGTTGTTTTTCTACAAGCAAAGTATTTTGCCAACATAACAATACATAATCATTCACATAACATATGCATGTACAGTACTGGCGTAGGTTTGTGTTTTCAGAGAGCTATCTTATTCAACACCAAGCCATTTCATTCAGTCACTTTTTCTGTCTAATTTTCCACTGTGAAAAATCACAAGTTGCCTCGAAACTGATAACTTTCACACTATTAATTTAACTCGCCTGCAGAGGAGCATAAATTCTCACTTTCCTTGCTGCATGCTGCCGTTAATGTAGCTCCAGCTGTCACCTTGCATGTTAATTGGCTCTCTCTTCATGAGACAGACCAGGCTGCCTATTTTTAACCCTCCAATCCAATTAGGAGATTAGCCAGCATCTTGCAGCCATTTTAGAGTGAGCTGTCAGTGCTGGAGAGGGGCCAATCAAACTGTTTCTCTGCTTACCTCTTCTTTCAAAACAACAAAGATGAATCAAGACTGGGTGTCCTGCTGGCCTAGCTTACAAAGCACCAGCAGTATTGAGTTGTATATACATTCAAAAACAACTTTTAAGTCCTTGAAATGTGCTTTGCGGAAGTGCAAGAGTTAAATATCCGATCAGATCAAACCTAAACTGGCAGAAGTGACAGGTTTTCACTTACAAATCTGATCCTGATCCATAAATCGTGTATTTGACTTCACCCCAGGGCCCTGAATCTGGATCATTTGCCTGTTGGACAGGACAGAACAGAGATTAAAAACCAAATACTTATGGCACATTTAGTATATAATGAAAACTGCACGTATGTTACATAATAATTTAATGAAAATGTATTCAAATTATCTAAATTGGGAAGCAAAAACCTAAACCAAGGTGACTGAAGGTTGTTCAGTTAGTGTTCATTTTAATGCTGCTGGCTGAGGATAACCAGCTAGGGTCTTAAGCTCATGCGGGGGGGGGGGCACACTATAAGTCGCTTCCTGTGGTGGGCGGGGAGGGAGGTATAGGTCAGCATGATTAACCTTGAGGCAAAATTAAGCCTTTGACATGTCGCCTGGTTGCAGTATAATGGAAAGGAAGAGACACGTGTGCAAATATTTCCGTAAATAAACCGTCTGCCAACAACCTGCTTTCATCTAATGAACTGCATCGAGTAATATGCATGTATTGGAGCATGATGGATTATGTAATCACTTTGTTCAGGTTGAATCAGAGTGTAATTGTGATTGACTCACTGTCACAGACACAACGCTGGAGCTTCCAGGTGAGTTCTCAGCGACTCTGGCGATGTAATACTCGGACGTGAATTTGGGGACGTTGTCGTTGGTGTCCAGCAGGTTGATCACTATGTCAGCTGTTGCACTGAACCGCTCAGGCGTGTCGATCTCCACCGCCAGCAGCTGCAGAGAAACATATGCAGAGTGGGAATAAATCAGTGCTGAAATCTAATTGATCGATTTGGTTGTTGACACATAAAACTTGCAGTTCTGTGATGCTGAAAGGCTAATATAACAAACTTAGATATTCCTTTTTGTTTTCAACATTTAAGGGTAATTTCAGAATCCAAAAATTATTCCCACACAAATATTTCACTAATAATCGCAGATGCTTTGCTACCATAAGAAATAACAAGTCTTAGTGGCTTGTTATTGTTTTAAGATTAACAGCTAACCACTCTGATAATTCATAAACTTATTTAGGAAGCTGGAAGCTATCAAACTGTACATCCTTCTTTATGAACATCATTGGGTTAGGTGGATGTTGTTCAGAGAAAACTGTCAATTTGAAGACATCATCTTTGGCTTTAAGCAAAGGAACTAATCAATTGAAAATACAGGCAAAAGACTTAAAAGAGGGGCAGATTCAAATGAGCTGCAGCCACAGAATAAATATGTGTTCAATAATACATTATGTGGTCATATATAAAGTCAAACCTTGAAAGAAAGTGTTGGTCCCTTTTCATAGTCGATGCCAGATGTGTCTTCCACAATGATGGTCACCTGCGCTTCATTGAGGACCGTCTGGGGAACGACTCGCAGCACTCGACTCGGACCCACCAGCCTCAGTTTGAATTTAGCGTTAGCTCCCTGCAAAGGAAATTAGACAGCAAGAATTTAAAAACCATGAAGAGAAAATGTTGAATAGAAGATTCACCAGAACTAAGAAGATTTCAGCAAACATTGGTGGTAAAAGAAAGTGAACAATTTGAGCAGAAGTCATACAATTAGTTGAAGTACAGCAGGAACACACCCGACCAATAGACCCAGAGGAAGGATTTAAATAAATCCTAAGGGAAGATTGGGTAAAAATGTACCTGATCTGAGTCATTGACGGTGATCTTGAAGCCTCGGAGGATCTCCCCTGCAGGAGGATGCTCGTACATGGTGACCTCAAACTTAATCTGAGGTCCGTTCTCGCCGTAAAAAGTCGGAGGATGGTTGTTGAGATCCACCACCCGGACCGTCACCAAGGTAACGTCGTATTCCAGCAGCCGATTGTCTGGTCCTAACTCAGACGCCTAGGTTTAAAAAAGATAAATGCATTCAGTACTAATAAGAGAAGTTTAAAAAAAAAAATGGTGTTTCACTTTAAAAACAAAACGGTATTACCTTGACTATTATTTCATATAATTCATTTGACAGCAGATTTGGATTAGTTGTCAGGGTGATGCATCCACTGGTGCTGTTTATGTCAAAGACACCATCACTGCCTGAAAGGTGATAACATCTTGTTAATAATGCGTCTGATAAAAAGACTGAAAAGAGAAGGGAAGATCGTTGTTCTAATGTATTGTTCTTACCGTTCATAATGGAATAATGGATCGGATTCGGGTTGCCTTGATCTCCATCTTTAGCGTACACAGTGAAAATCTCAGAACCCTGAAAGAAAGAATATGTATTAGTCTTATTTACTAAATCAGACCCTTGATCCTCATCACTGGTGTGTGATGAATATGAGAAAAACTCACAGCAATTGAGACTTCGTAGACGTAGCCAAAGTAAGGGGTTCCTACGAAGGACGGAGGCATGTCCTGCACATCGAGCACATTGATGGTCATGGTGGCAGTGGAGGTCAAAACCTGGTGCTTCCCCTTGTACTTTCCCCCTCCATCCTGATGCGACAAACAGTGAGAAAGAATACAAAGTGTATAATGTTTCTAGTCAATTTTGGATTGTTCTTTTATCCAAGGCAAATTATAATACAGAATAATGAACATGCACAATGTTAGATTGAACCTTTATGTGATCTCCGTGCGTAATATGAGATATTGAAGTATTTTTGGGATAAATTATATACAGAGGGTTTGTTTTACATGATTGTATTTCCCTATTTTTTTAATTCTGAAATAAACAAGCCTCCACAAGTAAATAGATGTCTAGCTTGAAATAGTTAGTTTTTCTTGGCTATTACAAAGTACAATTAACACCACCAGCACTACACAAACAACAATGGATGCAGAGACACATTTTTCTGCTAGGACAAAATGCGGCATTGTGTTTTATTAATTACAGTTGTATATTAAACTGACTATATTGATGTATTTGATTGCTTTATCAACATTACATATTTAGATATGTTATCATAGGTTTAACCTCTTAGTAACTGATTTGTAATCTATTAAGCTTTATTTAAAAAGTTGCCAATGTTATTCGACACACAGTGGATTTAAGGCGAGAACAATAACCAGTGTTTGATTTCTAGCAATGGAGGGATTACATGTCAGGTTACTCACACAGGGAGCTCTACCACTTCACAAGACTTCCATTTATTTCACATGCTGACACTGTTGGAGAAAGCTTAGTGGTGACTGCACTTTCCATGACATTTGGCGAGCTGCTTTTACTTTCCTGCAAATAGTTTCATGTCCAAAGCAGTGCAGAGGTTAATCTCAGCCCATTTCAACATTTTTGTTTTCAGATTAAACTTGTTTAAAGGAAAGCTCTCGGAGAAATGGTGTTGGGGTCATTGATAAACTCTTCATCCCTTTTCCCTGCTTGATGCTGATTTTGAAAAAGGCAAACTAACAACATGGAGGAATCTAAAAGTTCTTGCTCATCCAAGCTGCTGCTCACAGTGTAAACATGTTTTTAGGGAGTCATGCGTGACCTCTCACCTTTGCAACCACGGTCACAAAGTGCGTGGGCGTGCTCTCGTAGTCCAAAGTCTCCCCAGGTTTGACTCTCAGGACTCCGCTGTGCCCGTCGATGGTAAACTTGGCAACAGCTGAACTCTGATGATGTATAAAGCCACATAGTTAGCCGTGTTAACAGTAGATTTTCAACTGAATTTAGCAATCTCGCTAATTCTTCTGCTTGCTTCTAACCAGTTTTAACCCTTGACCTACCTCCTTTCAACCTTGACTTTTTTTACACACTTTTGACACATGAACAGTAACAAATACTGTGCTTACCAATGTTGGCACGAACCAAACTTAAGCCCCTATTAAGCCTTCAGTGCCTTGCTCAAATGTAATTGAAAATTAATCCACTAAAGTAAAACCGTTTCCAGACTGCTCTGGTATGAGATTAATCTTTCCCGGCACACACTGCCTCGTCATTCGAGTGCCCTTTTCCTCCCTCCACATGGCAGCACAGCCCTCATGATGTCAGCTCGACCGCCTGTCTCACCCGCAAGTGTTAGGGCCACAGCAGGCCAGTTATCAGTATCACTGTGTAGATAATAATTGTGCGTGGAGAGGGAATCAAACGGTAGAAAAACAGCAATACAAAATAAGTGTGAAAGAAATGCTGGCTCATGCTATCAAATATGAGAGCTGAGGGGATTAACTTGTTGGCAGACTTCAAAGAGCATCCTGGGGTATAGGAGTAGAGAAATCCGGAGATGCAGGCTGGAGCCACATCTCTATACTTTTTGTCATTAGACAAATCTAACAATCAACTCAGAAATGAACTTGAGGCCATGTGCATGGAGGAAAAAACACGACAATTTCCACTAATGTATTGCTCTAAAGGCTTGCCTGCTTCATTTTGAAAGACATTTTTCCACTTAATACCAGAGTATGATGTTGTAGATGGAATAGTCTGAGCAAAACAAAATAAAAGCATGACCTACATGGAAATATTTCAATGTCATGATAACACTTTAGTGCTTCAATTTCCACACTAAGCTTCTACTGTCTTAATGACATCTTAGACAAACAAACCAGAACGGATTGTTTTAAGTCAGTAGCAAAATGTTCCTATTTAGCACTCCATTTTAGCAAGGCACAACCGTGCACCATCTGCATAAAAACACAGCTGTAGGTTTACCTGTAGGTAATAAGACACGCTGCCTCCTGAGCCCATATCTCTATCCACTGCTTGGACTCTGTAGATGCTGCTCCCAGCTGCAGTGTCCTAGGGAAGAGACAAGAGATTTTATAAAACAAACTTGATTCTCAATGGTTTGTTCAACGATTAAGAGGTGGTTTGTGCCACAGAAAGACATTTAGAAAGGATTCATTGTGTGTATTGTGTTGTATCGGGTGTGTTTATTCGATATATGCTGTACCTCTGGGATGTTGATGATGAAAGGCAGGTTTTGAAATTCAGGTGGTTCATCATTTGCATCAGTTACAAACACTCTAACTGTCTCAACAACCTGAAAGTAAAGTAAAACATACATTTAAAAAAAATAGATTATTTCCTTAAAAAGACTGTAAACATGGCAGGTTCCTTCTATCACAGCACATATGTTGTCAGAGCATATAGCCTTTTAACAGAAATATATCACAAAACATAAAAAACGTACTTTATTACGCCCGTCTGTTATGCTCACGAGCACTGAGATCTCATCTTGTGTCTACAAAGAAAAGATGAACATCACTTTGAGCCTCAGTGGGGACATATTTACAGCAGGTTTCTTCAAAACAAGTGACTTATCAACATTCCCACCTCTCTGTCGAGCTCCTGAACTAGAGTCACGTTTCCTGACTTGGACTCCACCCTAAAATATTCTTTGGAGCCCTTCTCAAAAGTCAGACCATATTGCACCGGATCGTCCTCTGGATCTGTGCCATTCAGAATGTATATCTGTGTCCCTATGTGGGGAAAACGACAAAGAAACAGCGATGTCAAACAAAAACATGACATTTATTTGTTCATTCAAATCATGCAAATCCTTTGTTTCCATTCTTGTTTCTTATGCAGTGTTAATGGCACGTCTAATAATAAGGTTAGATGATGCCACACTTGTTTTTTGCCAGAAAGTGTTGATGTACGTCACAACAGGAATCCACTGGCACCTCAATACCAATGTGATAATGAATGCGTTCACCTACGCATATAAATATTATACCGTTAAACATCACCTCACACCAAAATGAACCAGAACTGTGATATTTAAAATGAGACTCACCAACTGGTGTATCCTCAGAGATGCTGAACAAGGCCATGTTCCCATGTGTACTGCTGGGTCCATAATCATAGAAATGTGGAGCATAGTCCAATTGCCCTTTAAAAAAAACATACATTAACATGCAAGTTAATTGTGCAGAAGCAACTCCAAATACTTCATGGCGATATATTTGTTCAATTTCCGATATAAATGCTTATGTAATCAACACATAACTGTTGCACTCACTTGCTACAAAGGGCAGGAACCGAAAGCAGGGAGAAGGAGGAGGAAGGGGGGCATGATTTAATGCATATATTTGTATTTAATGTTACCACTATCACAACAAAGGCCTACTATCACAAATGAGTACAAGCAGCATGAGCAGTCCCCACTAAGAGGGACGTGCCCTCTTAGTGTTAGAGGATTAACCAGATAAGAGCAAGGCAAGAAGTCCTAACCACATACAAAGAAAACACACAAAAAAGAGCCTTACCCAAAGTGGAGTGAAGCAGGAGGAGAAACAGTAAAGCATGCGTTTTCTTTTCTTTCTTCATCCTGGTGGGGAGGCAAGGCTTGGCTGGCTCATGTGGAAGGCTTGGCTGGAGGTGAAGCGAGCAGCGAGCTGTCGTGCCCTTTCTGAAGGCGTCTCAGCAGCTCAGGAGGAAGAGGCTGGGGCAGATTCTCAGGCACTAATCCAGTGACGCATCCCTTCCCTCTTCTTCCACCACACTGCTCTCTCTCTCCGTTTTCTCCTGAAAAACTACTTGTCGAGGGGAGAGAGTTCACACAATGTGGTGTGATCATCACACCTCAGCATGATGGGAAAATGTATATGAAGCACTGCCTCTTTCATTGCCTAAAATCAACGTTATGATATAACATACTTACTAAGACTGAAGTTCTGAGTACAGTATATTCTGGAGCTTACACATTGGGAACATTAAACGTCCTTTCTGTTTTGTGCTGCATTTGCGTTTGCTTTTGTTGATGGAAACAGACACATGGCACATTTGACTTCTCTTGCTGTTGTTTTAAGGGTTTCAACAAGTCATTGGTCACATGTGGCGAGTCCCACTGGGCTAAGTTTCTCTGTGGACACTCTTCTTGGCAGCTTGCTGACCAACATTGGCACTTGTGGATCTGTGATGCGCTAAAAGACCAACAGGCTTTCTTTGAGATTTTGCACTCCACTTTCTCTGCATAGTCTAGTGACCTGCACTCGAGACACAACACAAGGCTTTTACAAATAGTCACTATTGTAAGTCAACATTGCTTGATTTAAACATTTAAAAAGAGAGTTGCAAGTATACTTCATACGTTGACAGAAGCCAGAAGATGTTTGACACTTAGCACTGTTGAGAGAAATCCATCTGGTATGAATCCCTTACAGCTTATGCAGGTCAGACCTAAAACGCTGTTCTCAATCTCAAAGACAAACAGGCCACAGATGAACAGCTGACCTGATAAAAAAGGCTTAATTGGAGCATTGAGTATGATGTTTTTATGTTACAAGCTTATCTGACGATGGCACACAGCCCGATTCCTTACACCTTTTATTTTAGAATATAATTTCCACTTTGGCTCTGGGAGATTTTTGCACCTTTCGAAAAAACCTCACATCCGCTGATGGGAAGGTGTCAAAGAGTGCATGTTGAACTGACTGTGTCAGCGTGGTGTGTTAACTGCGTAGGAGTACTCACAAAGGTGCAGACTTGTGCACTTCCTACTTTCACAGGTATAAAAATAGTGTGTGACGTTTACACACACACTCTCACATCGTACTGGTGGGCAGCCAATGGCAGATCTCTGATCATTAAAATAAACACAGAATCCATGCGCTGCTCTGTGTTTACAGCAAAGTTTGCCAGTGCACAAACAAGAATCCATGTTATTGGATGTAAAATATTTCAGGAAGTAAAAACATATATGAAAGAAATATCAGTACATCTTGATTTAAAGATTCAAAATGATTATTTAGGTAAAAGGACAGATGTATTATCTGAAATGTACTTTGAATGAATAGCACAAGTTCACATTAAGCAGGCTGTCTTTATTTTACAATTGGAATATTATAACAGATTCATTGACAAGAATCCTTTCAATTTTGTTTAGTCAATGTTGAGATAATTTGAAACACTTCCCATACTGTTAAGTGTTTTTATTTGTAACAATAGATATTTCGTTTTTTTGTACCGGGAAAGTCTGAATCTGCAAAGAATAACTATATAATATAAATGTAACGCAATAAAAAAGTCAAATGTCCTGACTAAAAGCAGTTAAGATGTTTATTTTTAAAGTATATAATTTAATATTATATCATGTATGTTTTATATCACATTACATCAATATATATTGAGTCAATTCAAATTAAGTTTATTTATTATTATTAAAGTAACATACAGTAAACTCTCTTCTGTGTAAGTGCAAATCAGCACAACAAGCTACTACAGGGGATAATAGGAAAGTCTGTCGTTATATTTAGTCATAAATCAAGGATTTGGCAATATTTAAATCATGACTTGTCTGAAGCATAATCCCCTAGGGACTATGAATGTTGTAAAAAATGTCGCACGGACCATCTTAAAAGACGAAATATTTTAAAACATTTGTGAAAACGTTCACCATGAATGTCTGTTCTAAATTTCCAGCGATCCATTGGATAGTCTGTGTTTGTCTATTTAGGATTTACATTTTTTTTTTTTTTTAATGAAAACATTGTAGGCATTGTTCATGTAATAATGGAAGACAGTGCTTGCACGGTCCTCCCCCCCCTGCCCCACGTCAAGCATAAAGAGCATTGGACCCTTACCAAATATTGGTCATCAATTTGAAAAGGACTGCCAGAGCGCAACTTTTATCCCCAGTAATGCCAGAGCTCCACATGCTGGAGCTTTTCCCAATCTCATCCATTATTGCCCTCTTCATCCCTCCCATCTGCAGGCTTTTCGATATGTAGTATATATGAATCATACGTGTCCTAAACGTGAACATGATCTGAGAGATTGAAACACCCCGAGCAGCTGTGTGCTCCACGTGTACGGGCTTTAACGAAGCACCTGCATATTTACAGATGTTAGCATCTGTTCCAAGTGCCCTGGTTTGGAGGTTTAATTTTAGAGGAGCGGCCAGATGGTGGACAAGAGGATTACTATGCTAAGCCTTTGTCATCTGCTGCTCCACACTGCCTGTCTATAGGAAAAGACAAAGTGGACCCCCGCTGGTCCCTCTTTGTCTGATTAAAGCTGGGTGTGGATGACAAATGGTAAAATATGTAAGTTTTGGCACTATGACAATTTTTCAGACACACTGTCTTATGACTTTAATGGCAAACTATGATTTTTTTTTAATGCATGCTAAGCTATGACAGTTATTAACAAACACCTATATGGGGACTTTCTATGACATTTCCTTATGGCATACTTTTCCATTTGATTTTTTACAGTAAACTATGCTGACAGTTATGAAGACTTCTTATGACAAAGGGCTACAATACTGATACATTTATATTACAAATAATCAATGATTCTAATAATCATTGCTATACAACATGCAGTGCTTTCACTTTTTAAATGGCCTTTTAGTATGTATTATTTTGTTTTGTATGTATTATGGACAGGGTTCATACACTTTTTCACCAATGATTTTCAATGACTTTTCCATGACTTCTCCATGACCTTTACCTAATTTTCCATGACTAAAAGAATTACTCTTTCTCAGCGTACCACTGAAAATGGTTTATTTGAACATGGAACAGGAAAATAAGGTCTGCATATGAAACATGTTGTTCCTATCTAAAACAAATCCAATAGTAGGCTTACTAGCTTCTACAGGCTAAAGCAACTAAAATCTCTCACCAGCAAAATACCTCGTCAGTTAAATGCCATTGTACGTTTAATTACTATACAGTATTTATTATCATTATAGTATTACTATTTCGGCGATTAGATAAAATATAAATTATATTTGATGCAACTTTAGTTACATTTCCATGACTTTTCCAAAACTTTGGGAAAAATATTGTTTTCCATAACTTTTCCAGGGCCTGGAATTTGCATTTGGAATTTCCATTACTTTTCCAGGTTTTTAATGACCGTAAGAACCCTGTATGGAAGTGTTTTATGTATGTTTCCTAGCAAGCTGTGACTGCGTGACAGGGAGCCAGCATGCACACTACCAGGACCATGAAACTGGAGCAGCTTAATATAATTCAGTCTGACAATAATACATCACTTTGGACATGTTTATTGATTGGTTCCATTGTTGAAATGACTGTACAATGTCAGAAATATATGGACTAGTGCCAACCTCTTGAACGCATAACAGAAGTGCAAAATCAGTGTATAGTGGAGCGAGTCGGGACCAGTCTGTGTTGTACTTTGTTAGCATACACCATATATTTTTGAACTTTCATTCTCGTTGGAAACAGAAACACCACTCAGTTGAAATAAATACAAAACATAAAGAATACAAAGGACATCGGAAGCTGGAGAGAGGATGCAGACAAGAAAGACTTAACCCATCTGTAACCCCCATAATTAACCAGATACTTCCACAATCAAGGTTAGAACATGTTATCAATGCACAACGATTTATCTTCTTTGCACCAGAGTACAATCTTCTTCTTCGCACTCTTTCAAAGCATGGATGTATTGTTCCCAGTTAGATAAGACGTGTCACTAAGAGATAACATCTGGTGTATGCTGCTAGTAATAAAATATGATTTTGATCAGCTTTGTAAAGGGTCAAACTGAAATCAGAATGCAGCGGTTTACTTCTTCCTGCTGCCGCCAGACAGAATCATCGCCATCCTCATGAAGATGTTCAGTGTGTCCATGTAGATCCCCATACACCTGTGAGATTAAACATAATATGAGAGAAATACCTTAGTGAGAGTTCATGGCTAACATTCTGCTTGAACCCACGTATATTTTCTGTGATGACTTACGCGTTGATGGGGTCATATTTCTGTACGCCGTACAGCGGGTGTGTCTCTGCTCTCCTGATGACCTTCTGCGTGTCGTACAGGAGGAACATGCTGAACAGGACCAGGCCTCCGTAGATGGCCACTGAGTACAGGCCTGCTCCCATTACTGAGGTGGGCGGCAGGAACATTGATCCTGGAGAAGACGGGGAGATTTGCTGTGAGACTGACACGTAGGGTTTCAAAATGGTAGCATACAGATATCAATAATTAATGAGCTTATTATCCAATCCTATTATGGGTGTAAGTAACTGATATATCAGATACATTCCTACAGTTTCTGTAAAAGCTATGAGATTTTGTGCACAGTACTTTATTTTGGCGACTCATCTTTTTTAAAACAACTTGTATTTGAACATACTGTGTAGAAATTGTTACAATTGTAATGACAGCATCATATGAAATTGATATGCCTACTGTTTTCAGAATATGACATGACAGAGATGGTACTCGGTCGTGACCGACACATTTCTGTCGCACATTCAAAAGAAGTGCTTGTACCAACGCTGAATTTTGCAAGCTCTTATGATTTTGGTCCCGCATTCCCCTAAATGTGGAGCACACGATCGAAAAACTAACACTTTGGGTGTGATATGCTTATCAGATTTGCAGATTGTGCAAAAAAAGTGAAGTTTCTCATGTGGCCCTACAGGGACATATTCATGGTAAAAATACATTTTGCCATGATGCTTACACTTTAATAACTTGACTTTAACCTCAATGCCCTTTTTGGTTGGAAGCATTCAGTACTGTGTGTACTGCACCTGAGACAGGGTTTACGAGGTGAAACTTCTTTGTACTAACCAATAGAAGAAGCGAACACCACTCCAAAGCCAACAGCCAGGGGCCCGCCCATGTTGAGGAACTTCTCACTTGGGGCACACATGGCCACAGAGGACAGACCGCCCACGATTCCTGCGGTGTACCAAGCGGCCCTCATCACCAGGGGCCCTCCCAGGAGGGTGAGGGGGGCGATGACAGCACCCATCACACCTTATCAACACATAAAGACAACTAAACACCACACTCAACTCAAACAACATGAACAAGGTTTAACAGCAGCTGCTACTCTGAGCCTGTAGATTACTGCCCTCTAGTGGCAAACCGAGGAAACTACATCACATACATTACAATGTTAAGTAGGAGAAGACAACAGGAAGAATAGCCTTTCATTAGACCTTGTGTTACAAACCTGCATGGAACATCCAGGCGAGGTGTTTGGGCATCGGGCTGTGCTCATAGGAGATGGACCTGACCAGCATGCCGGCACCAATCATGGCTGCAAATGTCGCTCCCATAGCCTGAATTACAAAACACATCAGGCATTCATTTAATTACCTGTAAATAGGGCTTCCCAGAATAGTTAAAGGATTCCTTCAAACCAATGACATTCCGATTCATAACCATCATTTCCTTGCATGTCTATTCAGTTTAAATGTGTTATTTCTGGATACAAAAAACAAGGTGATATTTGTATTATGATTACGCTATTTATGGCATTAGATTCCAGGAAAGGACTGTTTCCTACCAAGCATTTCAATAACTTCAGTTCCTTGTAAAATGCAAAAGTCCAAATTAATTGAACAATTAATAAGTGAAGGAATTTGTCTATGTCCGCATTTTAAAAACATGCTTTGCTCTCCCGCTTGGCCCACACAAAAAGGAAGCCAGCAAATAATGACAATTATTTATATTAATTTAAGAAAGTTTATTTAATAAGGATGTTCTAATTGCAGGTATTAATAAATCAAGATATTGTGTATTAACCTTACATTTTAGGTGAATATGTATCCAATGTTAGGTGTACTTGAGTTATAAAGCTTACCAGCCAGGATCCTCTCATCATGAGACCCATGAGGGCCGGGGTCCTGCTCACTGCTACAGCTGACAACGCTGTCAGGCCAATACTGCCTGAAAAGTACATGTAGGTGGAGTGGATCCTGTCCTTCACATACTGAGGCCAGATCCTGCACAGAGAGTAAAGAGCCACGTGAAAATGAAGCAAACACTTTCTAATAACCATTGTTTTAAACCATGAACAACCTGAACAAAAAGCTGACACTCACATTGCTTTTTCAATGGCACCGATTTCATTGGACATGCCAAATCCATAGAAGCACAGAGCTCCAAGACCCACTGCTGCACCTCCAGCCAGGAACAGTCTCCCCATGCTGTGAACTGTGGACATACACAAATAATTTTTATTTATTTTTTTAAATGTGTACAACTATAACTAAATATTGAATAATTGTGGTTTAACTTGTGCTTACAAAATGTTGGCATCATGGCAATATTAAAATATTTGTATATATAATAACATTTAAATTAAGACAGTGGACCAAATAAAACTAGTGTAACAGTATATGTATCACTTTAAAACAGTTTTTTCAAAAAACACATGTAATAGTAATTACTTTTATAAGCGGTTTCTGAAGCTGGCTCAAAAGCTGCTTCTTTGAGCTGGCTTTTGGTTGTCCTGCGGAAAGCAATTCTGGCCTTGGAGGAAAAACCCTGGTGAAAGAAAAACGGAAACTTAAATGAATATGGGAATTAAAGACGGCAGCTGCAGGTTACTTTACTTCTTATCCCTGCTCCTACCCAATGGCACTGTAAGAGCCAATTAATAAAACCTAAGACTTGCTTTAAACAAAAGCATACATAACAAACCTTAAGTCTGTTTCTTTCTAATGTTCACATTGTTTACTGTCTTTTTGTTACCATTATCTTTGCTTTCGGTGCCCACAAATTGGTTTAATCTTGTGTGTTTTCAATATCTGCTATTGTCACCTAAGAAAAAACAAAACATTTTCTCCAATATAATCTTGGTGGGAGTGGTACAAAGTACTTTTAGTTGCATGTCTGTGTGTGGTTATAATGGAGAGTTGAAGCAGCAATAACAAAGCTTAGAGAAGCAGAGGTCTATGACTTCACAGTACCTGCTGGGGCCTGAGCAGGGGGGGACAAGTCTTCAGGGTGGATGTCCTCAGGGCTGGGGACCCCTGTGACAGCACAGGACGCAGCCCGACGAGAGGAAGAGTCCTCAGGCATGTCAGCCTCGCAAGCATCATGGTCACAATGAGAGATGCTGTATCAGTCTGAGAGATAAACAGAGCGTCAGGTAACTGACAGACTTCTGTATGACATAATGTTCAAACACATATTGTACACATACTAATATGATTATAGTCACAAAGTCAGATAGGAAACAAAGTTAAAGTACCGTAGCAATCAAACTGGCCAGTTAATGAAGAAATATAACTATGAAATGGTAACATTTTACGTTAGTTAAATAAGCTAGCTAACGTTAGCTAAGTAATGTGACTAATTTCACTACAACGTCTCGTACGCTGTTATAGTGTATAGTCTGACCAAAATGGTAAACTGTTACCACTAACACGTTGTTTAATAATATACATAGGATAATATAGACAAATGTAGATGTTACATACCGAGCAAGCAACGTACGTGGTTCACCTTTCTAGAAATAAGTGCGCAACCTTCTGACGCAATTCTTTTGCAACCTTCCTGAAAATTCTCAGTCAGTGCGTCATCATTAAGCGACGGGTTTGTTGGGAATCGTAGTTCTAAATCGTGCCGATTGAATAAGTCTATACAATGCATAAGGGGCTAAAACAGTATTCAAAACCAGAATTCACAATATAAAACAATTAATTTATAAACCAGTTATAAAGAACAATGTCAAAATGAAGATGATTATTTCCCCACACATTAGGCATAGCCTATGTGATTGCAGATAACACATTATCATAATAATAATAAATAAAGTAAATAAAGTGTGGAATATAATAGAGTTCAAAATACACTATATTCCTCTTTAATTAAATGTTGTAAAATGCACTTGAATAAATGACTTTAGGTTGGGACGCACATTGTGTTTTCTCCACTAGATGGAGTGCTTGCCTCTTCTTTTGATGCTACTACTAAACAATACTTTTCTAAAACATAAAATAAACCAAAATAACATCAACGCGTAACAGAATCACGGCCCTACCATTACATACCATGTGTTTATAATTGTTTTGTTGCTAATCATCATAACAGCCTATGGGTGGGTGTGTGAGGGGGGGTGTCAGTGCGCCTCCTGCTAAAGCTCCGCTCCTTTGGTCCAAACTTTCCCATGTGAACTTTTGCAAATACTTCTCATTCAGTTGATCGGGCAACCTGACCTGCAGCTTCCCTAAACATGAGTCCATCGGGTACACAGGCTTCACTTACTACAACTAGTCGAACTACTTATGCTTTTGGATTGGATTGTTTTTTGTCACACAAGTGAAGTACTGTTGGGAAGTAATGGAAGTCATTTATATCCGGAGTCGCTCTTTGAGGAAAGGCTGATCAACTTCACGCATGACACCGCAGCTCATCATGATGGTGGGTATGGAGAGCGGACAAAACTTTGATTGATAGGCAACTTATACATTTCTAAAACCTACAAGCTTATAATATCACATGGGAGGACTTTTAAGCTTTAATGACAACCCAGGGGGTAGAGACAAAGTCATTGAAATAACCATAAAACATTTATGGATCTCTGACATAAAAATGTAAATTAAAGGGGGATGATGTCTTCTTATTAAAAAAGCATGACTTCAGTTTTGGCCGGTTTGTCCCTTTTGACCTTGTAATGCAATGCATGCTCTCCAGCCTAACTACTGCTGCAAAGAAATAAGACTTTTTCCACAGTGATGTTTCAACATGTCATTTTAAAGATTGTAAGGGAGATCCTTAAATACTTGATTAATTTACTGATCAAAGATCTGGCCAAAACCTCTTTTGGTGTTCCCTCTCACTGAAATGGATCCATATTGACATAAGACAAACATTCCAAACAAATGTATAATGATTGAACACAGCCCAGCTTGTTTTCCTTTGTAAAGCTGTCAAGAGGTACACATATAATACACCTAATATTAAATAGAAAAAAAAAACACTATCACAGCTGGAATAGGACATTTGTATAGTTATATGAATGTGTCTATGTATATCATGATTGTAAACTGCACATTTTCTAGAAAGAAATTGGGAAACATGTTTATTGATTTAGAAAAATAGCTGGAAATGTCTATTTGGCTTACTAAAGATTTCTGATTGACCTTCCAGTCTTACAAAAATATATCATGGATCATACAGATGTAGAAAAATGACATATCACACCTCATACTGTATTTCATAGACATTTACAACACTATAGTGGGTTAGCTGGGTGGTGTTTCATTTCTCTTCACATGAGATTTACATTAAATAAGAGGCAGCTATTAAAAGCATTTGTAGCAAGATGATAAATGGCTCAGTGGCGGTTTCGTTATGAGTAGATGATCAAAAGTGTCATATGCCTCAGTGATTTGTGAATATTCAACAGTCAGCTCATATGTGTGTGTTTTTTTTCTTTCTTTACACAGCAGATGCAGTAAGCTGAGATAATTGGTGTATATTTAATTTACCATATAAATGACAAAACCTCATACCACTTATTTTCTTGATGTATTGTTGCCGTGTTTCTATGGTTTGTTTGAATAATACGTACTAGTACATTCATTTTATGTAAAATCTACTTTTTTGTTAAAATTACAGTTAAGGGTCACAGTGACTTATTCATTTGGCCAGATTTGTCTTTTCTCCTAATGTGTTCAGTTTGTTTGTTGCTTTACACAAACTATGACTGTAGTTGGGCAATGTAAAATCACTGCTCAAGACTTAAGGACTGAGTAATTTGCTGTGGTGCAACCGACTATCTGAAAAGAAACCACATAACTAGTAACATCATCTGGTTAGTCACTGACCCTGTGACGTGTGAGTGACCTGCGAGTTTATGTTCTGCCATCTCAGCCCAAAGGAGGTTTAGAGTCACTCCTGTGTAAAGAGACCTTTGTGGTTGTGGCATGCGACAGGGTGGTGCAAGACAGATCTGATTTTTCCTTCTCGGTGAAAACGTGTCTCAGTACACAAGCTGTTCACCTTTTCATTACGCGCCGTTCCACGTCAACAGAGCTCTATTGGAGCTGTAAACTTTTCATTCCTTCTCAGAGAATTTCGCAGGCAGTGTCCAACCATTCCCTGTGTTTAGACTGCGCTCATTTGGAATGGCTTCTGTGCTCAAAAACTGGCCTGGGACAGAGGTTGCAACAGGATGTGAGAACTGGACCTCCAGACATCTTACAAAATACTCAAAAAGGCTCATCCGAAATTCAGAAAAGTATGCTCATCCGAAACAGTTGGACTTGTTTCGTGCCAAACACACAACTAACTTACCGTAGTGAGTGAAAATGTGTGTTTTAAGGCTTTGTGGCTCTGCTGATTTATAGCAGCAGTTTCACTAATGTGTCCGCCCCGAGGCTAGACCTGAAATCATTTAACAGTGATTCATAAGACACACTCAGGAGTCTGTGTGAAGCACCTGCTGGAACCAATAAACAAATGTTTTCACAAATCCAGACGTCTGATTCAGGATAAAAAAAAAAAGACTGACTGTAAACCCTTTGCGTGCTTACTTATATGATCTAAATTTCTAACCTTGACATTTTTGTTGGCACGCATCAAATTAACACATTTCCTCAGGGTGGAGACTGTCTAATTTACTCTCGCCATGTTATTGACCCTTTCACTGGCAGACGAGATATGGACGGATTATGCTAAAATCCAAAGATTAGTCAGGGATCTGAGCCAAGCTGCCATTATCTCAAAATATCAATCTTCCAGGAATGTGCAAGACAATTCCAAATACACAAAGGCATCATTAAATCCACTTCTACCTTCATTTGACTACCTACTGCCTCTGCAGAGTAGCACAAGTATAGCCTGCAGGCGTAGAGAACTGCAAATTATGGCTCCATGACAAGCAGGCTTTCCCCTTCAATTTTAGCCCTGTGCAGTTATACCTCTCAGCGTCAAGCCATGTGTCCCCCCCCAGTGTCAGTCAGTGTTTTAGAAGCACAAAGGCATATTATGGGGAAGCAGCAAGCCATTAGCCGCCACCAGATGGTCTACTGTACCAGTAGCCCATGTCACTGAGGGCCTCTGTTGAAAATATCTCCTCCCAGTGTTGACATGGAGCAGCAGCTGGCAGTTTGGACCACAGGCTGCTCTACCTATCAGTGGGAGGTAGGATTATCACTCAGGCAACTCTGAGTTCTTTAAGCTAGCAGCTTTGCCATTGTGGAATAAAAGTTTAATTACAAAATTGAGCTTGATTGCAGTTGATTACTCATATTTCATTTGTGCCTCACAGTTGTTTTTCTGCCATTTGCTTTAAATACAAAGACTGGCTCATAAAAACAGCTTCTCTCTGCACCAGCCTTCAGTCTCGCAGGGTGGGTGGGCATGTTCCTGAAATGCACTGGTGCACTTAAAGATAACAAGGACTTCCTGGTGGGAAGAACTTGCTTAGATTCCAGTCTAACACACTCAGTTATTTTCTATTCTTACGTTCTCAAGATATGATATTTTTGTCTTTAGGTAAATGCCTCCATTGTTGCTTTTGCAGAACACAGAAGAGTGATTTGAAACCTGGGAGGGAGAAGAACTCTGTAAAACCACCACTCTGACTCAGCATCACAGTGCAGTTTTACATATGTCAAAATAAACCGTCAACTTCCTCATATTAATACCTTGATGTGTTTTAAGGAAACATTGAAGACTAAAGCACTAACTCACTACTGTGCTCAGATGTGCAAAATGTGTAACTGACAGGTTGATGTTCATTTCCTTTACAGGATGAAACATAGCCTACAACGGGGAATACAAATAACTGGAAGGCTCTTTAAGAAGGCGACTGGAGACTTGCAAGATTGGCAGAACCCATTAAGAAGCAGTCAGTAAAAGCATATCCTGGCACAGCTACATCCAAGAATGAGGATCAAATACACAATATCCCTTGTCTTTTTCGTGGCACTTGTTATCATTGAGAAGGAAAACAACATCATCTCAAGGTAAGTCCATTTCAGAGATCAATGGAGTGCATTAGTGATTCCCAACAGGTTTGGGTGGGTTTATCTCTATCTTTAAACAGATATACAAAAACACCTTAAAAAAGAATCGGAGTTGCAATTTTTCCAACTGCAATTTTCAAATTGCAGGAGGGGCAATAGTTGTTAAAGGTGAAATGTGTATTTGTTTTACCTGGGTTTATCCCCATTAGTAACATGAAATAGCTGTCAATTTCAAGTTAAATAAAACCTTTATATCTTTTATTACCCAACTCTGTGATTCCTTTTACATTTTCAGGGTGTCGGATAAGCTCGCCTTAAAGCAGACCCCCCAAACCCCTCTACAGCCCAGTGGTTTATCCCACATACTGCCGAAGCACAATGCTTCCTTTACAACGCTTAGCAAGACGAACTCTGCCTTCAGCCTGATAAAACGACGCCTGGAGAACTACAGCCAGCACAAGGAGGTGGTGACGAGGGGCAGGAAGCACATCCTCCTGTTGGCCACCACCAGGACGGGTTCCTCGTTTGTTGGCGAGTTTTTCAACCAGCAGGGCGACAACATGTTCTTCCTGTTTGAGCCGTTGTGG